CCCCCCCCCCCCCCCCCTCATTTTATTGCTATTCAAGGAGTTTATTATATGCATTTGTAGTGTGTAGTTTGCTTTGATGAGATTGATCCATCAGCATTAGATGTCAATCAGAATCAATATATAATGTTTGCAAATACTCCATCTGTTTGGGAAAAGACTTCCTTTTTCATTTTTTTTCTTCCACCAAACACTCATTTTTTTTCTTACACCAAACACTCTCAATTTTCATTAAAAAATTATTTTTACCCATACCATTTCTTATCATACCTATAACATCATATTTTTTCTCTAATAATAATTTATTCATTATATTTTATTTTTACTCATCACATTAAGGGCAAAATTGGAATTTAACTATAGTTTAACATTTCCTTATTTTGACATTTGGTCAAAATGGAAAGTGTTTTGCAAGAACGAAGGGAGTATTGCCTTTGCGAATCTCACAAGCTGGTTGAACAATAAAAAGTCAATTATATCGTTGAGGTATTGGAAAATGTATCTTATGCCATTCGAGTGCCTCATGGTTGGGACTGTGTTTGGCTCATAAATTCACGGAAAATGTAATGTGTGGTCGAGTATTATTTTTCAGATACATCAATTGTCCAGTAATATTGAGGTGCAATATTTTTGGCATCTTCACGAGGATGAAATGAATTGTCATTGCAACATGCACATTGAGAGAGAACAACAATGAGGGAGTGTGTTTTATCCATATAAAATTACTTAAGAACTTTCTTTGTGTAATTTAGTTGATGGACAAAATATCCATTTGAAGACCTAGATAAATTCTATTCTACCGAGTTGGCAGTGTGTCAACGAAATTGCAATGTAGCCGTGGCCGTGTAGGGTTGGAGTTGGATGTGTGGTAATGTGACATCCTCATTTTATCAAATAAGGGTAAACTTGACCCTTTATTTTAAAAAATAACTTATTTATATTAAAAAAACATCATGCTTCTAATTTGTGCATTTATGACCCGTTTTACTCCTCCCTAATTTTGTCTCTTTAATGAGTCCAGTCAATATACTCCCTCTTTAATTTGAACAAAATCACCATAGACTTTAAAGAGTATGTATTTATTACTCCCTCCGTCCCACTGTATTTGTCCACTTACCTTTTGGCACACCATCCAATGCACTTCTTTAATTCATTTTATTTTATAATTTGTATATTAAAAAATTATAAAAATTATATATTAATAATCTATGTTAGACGCCTCGCACACCTCTAGAGGGAGGGTGAATAGAGGTGTTGCCCAAAAGACCAGTTTTTTACGCGGAAACGTTCTTCACGAATATTCAATAAAATCAATGCACCACAAACAAAATAAAGTAAAGGATAAGAGCAATGCACACACGATATATACTGGTTCGGCCTAATGCCTACATCCAGTCCCCGAAGCAATCGTGCCCAGGCCTTCACTAACCCGTCAAACTTAACGGAGTTTGACAATCCGAATACAACTCGAGAACTTGATTTCACAAGCCTCTTATCTTACCACCGAAGTTTTGATTTCACAAAACTCAGGATTTCTTCCACCTAACGTTTGATTTCACAAACCGTTAGGATTTCTACCACTTGGTGTAATCCCAACACCAAGAATACAAATCCCTTACAATAAAGTAAGAAAACAAACCGCAACCGAGTAATTCTCCCAACACGGAGTAGATTGTTGCAAATACAATGAAGCCCTTTAGAATATGACAATATCTCTCAAAGACTCAAGCAATGAGGAAAAACTCAAGCAAGAAATGATTTAGCAATCAAAACAATTGCCTTGCTTGGATATAAGGAGGGGATTGAGTAGAATCTCTTTGGATATTCAAAGGATATGTTTTTCAAAGTGTTCTTAGTGCTCTTATGAAGATAATCACGAAAGTAGATAGTTTATAGAAGTTAGGGAGTGGATAGGGATGAAAAGAGTTCAAAAAACTAGCCGTTTAGTAGTTGAAACTGTCGACTTATTCGAATAACTCAAGAACTATTCGAACAGTTTGGATCAATCGTGTGGTTTGAAAAACCAGTTCTTATTCGAATAAATTGGGATTTATTCGAATAAATCAAATTGAAAAACCAAGACTTATTCAACTAGTTCTGGATTTATTCAACTAAGTTAGAAAAGAAGTTCAGGGATTTATTCGAATAGTTTTAAATTTATTCGAATAGTTTGCTGGAAAAAAATGTGTTTTAAAGGTAGGATGATAAGGGAATGAACCTTAGAGATGCCATACTCTTTAACACAAAATCTAAGACCTAAAACACTACCCAACTAAGGAAACAACCTCTTCTTCACGGACGGATATAAACTTGTTGTAGCCTTGATTCTTAGGCTTGATGCACAATATGATGATGATGTTTTGTCAACCTTTTGTCATTATCAAAACCTAAAAGACAATGGGCAAAGAACATTGCAAATATATATATTCATGATAGCACATTGTCAACAATCTATATGTTAAGACGAATCAAACAAGATCACACATGACTATTTTTAGGCTTACACATTGAGAGAATTTGATGAGTCAAAGTGCTTAGATTAACAGTTCCAAAAGTCAAAACTGGACAAAAGCAATGGGACGGAGGTAGTACTTGGTTTATTCCCTCCGCCCCAAAATTAAGGTCCCGATTATAATGATGGACTAATTTTTTAACTCACTATTATAATTTTCTTGATGATTGAAAAATGAATGAGCGTAGACATACTTAATGTCTATATTCATTCATTTTCCAATGTATAAAAAAATTGTAAAAGCAAGAGATGTAGATATATTTTAAAACTAAAATAAAATGCTCTTTAAAACAAGATGCAATATGACTAGCTATATAATTTTAAGAAATGATTAACGAAATAAAGAAAGAAAAAAGAAATCTGCTGAAATTAGAGAAAAACATAAAACTTATATTAAAAAATAAAATCTCTAATGTTTTTATGATCTCTATAGAAGTTTTGACATTGCACAATGTCACAATTTGACATTGAACAATGACATTTCACAATCTTTTTTGACATTATATCTTGACATAATTTGACACTACAAGTCATATTTTGGTTTAAAAATATTAAAAGTCTTATGTTGGCGTATTAAATAACCATGTAATAGTACGTCCTAATTAGGAATTTCTTGCAAAATTAAATTATTTTCACCTCTAAATAATAAACGAGACTTTAACTTTGGGACAAATGGTTATTAAATCTAAAACTATTGGAAAAACCTAGGCGTACCCAACTCCAAATATATACTATCCTCTCAACAGACACACATATAGACAATCTTCTTTGAGGAATGTGATGTACATTTGAGTTGAGGTACACTACCAAAATTCCTTTGAAACTATTTCCTCCATATACCTTACTCGGTTGGAACCTAGCACCTTAGGTAAAATGACAAAAAAAATATTCCATCAAATTGAACACACTAATGGACAACAAGAAAAACTGGCAAAGTTCACATGCAATGTTTTTTGAGAATCTTTTCATCATCACAACAGTTTTAGCAACTCACTTCCTTTTATAAAGCAACCGTGCTATCTCTCCATTGTACGTATACAAGCATGTTATATGTTTATTCACAATCTCTTTGAATCAAAGCCTTTTAAGGCATGCTCTTTCATATTCGAAAAAAAAAGTCGAAAAAAAAAGTTGGATGTCAGGAAGAAAAACTGAAAGAATTTGGAAGGAATTGGAAAAAATTGGACCAGTAGTTAAGCAAAAGCATACTTATTCAAAGGGTACTCCGGGGTAAGTTTTATTTTTTTAAATTTTTTAATGTATAGAGTATGAGTTTCTGATGTGAATGATCTCAATTTTTGCACAACATGAAGCATAATATGTTAATTATGAGCAGTATTTTTTGAGATTTTTGAGAAGTTTCTTCTAAGTTTTTTGAAATTTAATTTTGAGCAAATTCATACTCATAACGTGTTAACAAATGAGTAAATATTTAGAGTTTTTGGTAGATAGATACTTAGATAGTCCTTTTGTGTTATGAACTATGTAAATGGTAAATTATTCATATTTCTATGAATTACACCTACTCTGTATTTTTCTAGAATGTCCTCCTGTGTTCTAGAATGATCTGATTGGAATAAGTATTGACTTGACCTGATTTGATCTAAATGTAATTCCATTTAAATCTATTTCTAATCTTATTTAATTCAAATAAAAAAATAATAAGTATTAAGATTAAGTTGAAGAGAACGTGACCTTAACCTCCCTACTATTTACACTCTAAAGAAACATAAATATACGAAGGCATAAATCTTGTTATTTCCAAACGCATTTTTTTATTAATAGTTTCTTTTTACGGAGTATATATTGTAAAATATTTTCTTCAAAACTATGAAAAGTATAGTATGTGATTACCCAGTATAAAAAAAATACTATGTGATTACCAAAAATTGGGATATTTTAAAGTAAGAAAATACTCCCTCCAATCCATCCGAAAAGAAATATCGATTTCTTTATTATTCATTACTAATTTGATACTCCATATAATAATCTAGTTAGGGCTGTCAACGGATAGCCGAAAATTCGATTACCATCCGCATCCGAATCCGTTTAAAGAGGAAATATCCGCATCCGTTTTAAACGGATATTATCCGTATCCGATTACTAAACGAATACGGATTTGGTAATTGTATATCCGATTCGTTTAAAATCCGATCCGAATATGCATCCGTTTAAATAACTGTTTATTCAAATATCCGATCCGTTATATATAGTTTTTCCTAATTTTTTATGTTTATATTTTGTTTCTCTATTGATATTTCAAAATATAAGAAATGTTTATATACAAAATAAATGTGTAGACACATAAAGATATGTACAGACATATAAAAATATGTGTATCTGTATGTTGCGTATATCTCTTTATCATATGAAGTTATCGTAGAATATCATAAATCATGAAAACAAAGAAAATAATTGTCCCATATCAAATTATAGTTGATTTAATAATAGTTTCACTTTAATCTAGTTTAAAATTAAAGTATTGTTTAATTTAATTTTAAAAATTGGAAATGGATACGGATATATCCGATATCCGTCGAATGCGGATACGGTTTTGATTTTCAGTATCCGTCAAGATCCGTATCCGAATTCGATATCCGACAAAAATAAACGGATACGGATTGGGTAATGGCACATCCGATCCGATTAATATCCGTTTACACCCCTAAATATAGTCATCTCACATCTTGATTTATAAAACTTTTGATGTTATTTTTAAATATTTCCTATATAAATTTTATTTTTTTTAATTTTATCCCAATTTTTAGATAAATTAATTTGGAAATAACTCCAGTCAAATATTATAAACAGCATGGAACTTTATATGAGATAGAGGAAAATCATATATGGCTTACATGTTTTTCGATTCCATTTTCTCCTTTCATTTGTTTCCTATCTAAATATGTCTTTTTATTTTTTTATTATTAAAAGAACACTTTTATCACTTTTATCACATTATATCAATTGATTATTAATTACTAATTGTATTGTACTTTACCTATCACATTAAAAGTGCTTGATTCAATTGGCCGGAATCCTATCACATGTCAATTTTTGGTAATGCTTGATTCACAAACAAAACCGTCACAAATTTTATAAACTTACTATTTCTGATGTAAATTCCCAGTTTAAAATTATTTTAGTCTACTTCATTTTTTAATTGAAGTTCACACTATTTCAAAATTCACTAAATTTTTAAGCCCTCTCTATTACTCTATTATTATTTATAGCAAAGAAAAAGAAATATTCATTCGTTTGTATGTACAACATAAAAAATTACCAATAAAATTTAAATTCTGTTATGAAATACGGATACAATGAATTTTTCATTTTTCAATTAATTACACATAGTTTTATAGCAGTAATGTAAACGTCCAATCCATCATGCACTTTGTAAACGTATACACATTGACTTCAGCGTCTTAATTATAAATAGAAGCTGACGGGGAATAAGGGTGGACACGGTACGGTTCTGGGCCGTATCTAGTACCGGAATCGACGGTTCCGGTACCGCCACCCCTTGGTACCGGTACCGTGACCGGACCGGGCGGTACCCGGACCGGCAGTTCCGGTACCAGACCGGCCGGTTTTGGCCACCCCCAATTTATTTATTTATTTTTTAAAAAAATTAAAGTGTAAAATTGTAAATTTGCAATTGTTAAAGAAAAGAATGAAATAAAAAATCTAAAAATGTAGTTATTTAAATTTTGTAAAATAAGTAATACACGAACTGAAGAACAACTACATTTAATATCCTGACGGCTCAAAAAAAGCGATGAGGTAAAGAATCGTAAAGAAACTCTCGAAGGAGCTTATATATCGCTCACCTAAAAAAAACTAATTAAATATTTACATTAACATAAAAAAGTTTATAACTGATTCCTAAGAACTAAATGTAGTTGTTCTTCAGTTCTTCAGTTCGTGTATTACTTATTTTACAAAATTTAAATAACTACATTTTTAGATTTTTTATTTCATTCTTTTCTTTAACAATTGCAAATTTACAATTTATACTTTAAATATTTTAGAAAAAAAGCAAAAATAAATAAATAAATAAATTGGGGGTGGCTGAAACCGGCCGGTCCGGTACCGGAACCGCCGGTCCAGTCACGGTACCGGTACCGGAACCGGCCGGAATCGTACCGTGTCCACCCCTACTTATGACTTCTATTTTGGTATTTAAATAGTTGTTTACTCATATCTATAGAGTTCTCTCTTTATTTTGTTTGATTTCCAAAATTGTTTTACCAGAGAAATATTACAAATTTCAAACAAAAAATTCGTTTAATCTTGTGCGTCGCACGGGTTAAAATGCTAGTATATCTAAATTTGTAACATACTATCTCAAACACGCACAAAGATGGATTCTCTTTTAACTAAATTAGAGTTTTCTTACATATCTATTTGAGTCATTATTTAATTGAGTAATTTTTTAACATTTAAGTATTTCCAACATTTTCCAACTCCTTCCAATACCCAACTTTAAATTTCCTACCCAAAAGAACAAGACCTTAGAGTGATCGTAACAATGAACCCAAAAAATAATTTTAACAATGCTACATCAAATGTTAAAACTCACTAATTTTTAAAAATTTATTCGTGTAACAATAAACCTACAACACCAAGTTTAACAAAATATTTACATTTAAATAAATTAAACAAACTAAACTATTATATTTAATTTAATTAATTAAAAAATTCTTTAATTAAATTAAAAAAATACGGAGTACTACATGTAAATAACAAAAGGTAGAAATTAAGATAGATGGGGATTTGTGGGACCCACTCTTAAACCTAACTTTTAATTTGAAGAGCCAACTTCAAACAAAATTACCAACTTATCCAACCCTAATGGTTAAAGTTGAGTTCATGTAGGTTTTAAACCTCAAACCATCTCCTATTACAACCAACAAGAGAGATGGGGATTTGTGGGACCCTTTCCTCCTCTTAAACCTAACTTTTAATTTGAAGAGCCAACTTCAAACAAAATTGCTAATTCGCCCAATCCTAATGGTTAAAGTTGGGTTCATGTTGGCTTTAAGCCTCAAACCATCTCCCATTACAACCACCCCAACAAGTGCAAGCTTGCAGTTAGAAAAAACTTTTTAATTATAAGCAATCACATCAATGGTGAAAGTGCAATTTATAGTTTAAGACAATAGGGGCATTGGTGAAATTTACTATTACCTTATGGTGCAGGAAGAGTTACCACAATCAGGGGAAATTATCTTATTGCAAAGATTTTACATAAACAATATTACAACAGTCTATATGAAAGTACACTACGCAAGAAAACAAACTCACAAAGTGTACAGTGGTAAACATTGAGAAATATAATTATTTATGATGAACTATCTATGTATCATGTTTTCTATCAGAAGAGTTCCTTTGTTCTACCAGTTTGTTTCCAAACCTTTTGAAATGAAAAGGCTTTCAACATAATCGATGACTGGAGCTGCTGAAGCAACGTAACTTCTCATGTACATCGTTGCTGAAGCTTCTGAAATGACACAACACAAAATAGAGCAACAATGCTCAATGAACAATTTGCTAGGAATAGATATTGAGCCAGACCACTGAGCTAATTCAATGTCTTATTGAGAAAAACTAATGGCCCAAGTTCTAAAGCACTAGATGGCCGGCAAAGAGCATCAAGGTTGGGTAAGGCGAAGCAGAGCGGGGTCATTTCAGGTAAAAAGGCATAGGCAATCAAGTGCAGATAATCTATGAGAACGATGGTTTTACAAATTCGTCTCATAAGCCTAACTTACTTTGCGAGATAGTTGCAACCAAAACAACATAGAGGCAATCAAGCAGGGTCATTTTTAGTAATGACACATGTTCTAAAGCACTAGATGGGAAGCAAATAACATCTAGGTTGGGTGAAGTGAAGCATAGGTGGGGTCATTTTAGGGTAAAAGGGCATCCAAGTGGAGATAATCTATGATAACTATGGATTTTCAAGTAATGACCCGTGTTTAAAAGAACAAGATGGCTGGCAAATAGCATCTCGGTTGGGTGAAGTGGAGACTGGAGATAATATATGATAACGATAGTTTTACAAATTTGTCCCATAAGCCTAACTTACTTTGCAAGATAGTTGCGACCAAAAGGGCATAAAGGGCATATCTGGCGTAAAACTTGGAAACTACTTTTTTCCACGGACTTCAGGTGTTACTCTAAAATACAAGAACAACTACTACCCAGTTGAATCCCACGAGTAGGGTCTGGGGAGGGTGTGTATGCGGACCTTACCACTACTCAAAAGTAGAAAGGTTGTTTCCAAGAGACCCCCGACTAAAGTAACACAAAGCACAAGTTCACAGAAGACACATGAAGAAGAGAGAGCATACAACATAGAAAAATCCAAGAACAACAAATACTAATGAAAGGAAGCCATAGCAAGCAAAAAGCACCAAGCATAAAAACACGCAACAATAAGTGAAAAAACTACCATCCCGTCCAAAATGCCCACCCAGCTACCCTAATCTTAGCTCTCCAAATGTTACTATCTAAAGCCATATCCTCGACAAGGGTCAGAAGTGTTAAATCCTATCTAATCACCTTCTTCGAACTCTTCCTAGGTCTCACCCTTCCCTTACTCTCACCCAACACCCTGAGCTTCTCACACCTCCGCACTGAGGCCTCAGCACTCCGCCATCTTACATGCCCAAACCACTTCAACCTAGCTTCGTGTAGCTTATCCTTCACTCATGCCACTCGCACTCGTCCTTGGATAACCTCGTTTCAAATCCTGTCTATCTTTGTTTATCCACTCATCCACCACACCATCCGCATCTCTGCAAAATGTAGCCGACAAACAAGGATCTTCTTAACTACCCAGCACTTTGCACCATACAACAAAGCTCGTCTGACTACGGAGCAATAGAACTTATCAATAGATGTGGTAACACAATATTTCCATCAACTAAATTTAGAAAATGATGAATAACAAAATTTATTGAGCGTCGCTGCTTTAAATCTAGATAAATATCAATGGATTAGGATATTATCAATATAATGGCAAAAAACTATGAAACTATTGTAGTCTTGAAGAGGATAGGGAATCTTTAAGAGTGGAGTATAAGATTGCCCATAAGGAAGCAAAGCTAGAGGTGACAAGGGCGAAGAATGAAGCATTTGAATGTCTTTATAAGGATTTGGAGGAGCGGAGTGGTGATAAGAGGCTATTGAATGGCAAGTTTGATTCGTGGAGTAAGGCTTTGGAGTTGCACGGCTTGCGTATAAGTTGCACTAAAACAGAGTATATGGAGTACAAGTTTGGCAACGGAAAGAGAAGTAGTAACATCGAGGTGAAAGTTGGAGAAAATACTATACCAAAAGTAAAGAGATTTAAATATTTTGGGTGCGTCATTCAAGACAATGGAGAAATAGAGGATGATGTTAACCACAAAATTCATGGTAGTTGGACAAAATGGAGTGCTTCAGACTTTATATGTGACAAAAAATACCTTTAAACCTAAAAGGAATATTTTACCATACTGCGATAAGACCACAACTATATTGTATGGAACATAGTGTTATGGCATGTTCTATTCTGCTTGTTACTTATTACTTAATCCTATTGGAATCATGATTCCATCAGACCTTAAGAAATTCACATTAGAACCAATTAGATCAGACGAAGAAGAGAACAGACCTTGATTCTTTGACCGCATAAGGTTAGATCATATAACGCATCTACTATGATTGCAAATAGCCCTTTTAAAATATTTTGGATGCAGAAGTGGTTGAATATAATGAATGACCAATGTAACTTAGGCGAGGAAATAGAATAAAACAGAATTTATCTCACCATCTTCATTGAGCTTCTTTAAGAGTTGTGCCTTGGTAGGAAGAGCATACATTCCTGCAGCTACTGCCTTCCTTATTAGCCATCCATGGTGAGGAGAAAAAACTTGTGCATAAGCTTTTGAAGCTGGATCCATTAGAGAATTTTCCCTATCAAATCAAGAAAAACCATGTACTGAGTTTCATTCATATACAGTGTTAGCAGATTGAAAAATTAGTTCCAACCTAAAAGGCCTGATAAGAAGAGTAGCCTAAGACCTAACATGTTGATTTGTATTTTTATATAAATGCAGGCCTGCATGGTGGCTTGACATGCCACCACCGGATAGTTTGTTGAGGTAAAACCGATCTTGAAGTTCAATGTACTAACTTCTGAAGCTTACTATGATCAAATTATTTGTTTGTGTAATTGGGGACTTTGATATCATTTTGAAACTTGAGGTTTCATCATAAAAGTTGTAATGTTATAGGATGGAGACTTTCCTCCCACAAGTCCAAAACAGTGGAACAACCAGAATATAATTCGGTAATTGTTTCCGAATAATCCAAAATAGGACTAGACACCTCAAGGACGGGCGGGCTGCCTAGCAAAATTTGGAACATTGGTTTTCATGTAAAATTACTCCCTTTGTTTCCAAATTAAATTCACATTTTTCTTTTTTCATATGCCCTAAATAGATGTCACACTTATCTCCTTTCCTTTTTATGGAGAGATTAGCACTGACACATTTAACCTTAAAAGCAGAACATACCCAGAGGCCAAAATGTGGTCAAACAAAACTTTAACCATATCTATCCCACGCTTCACCCTCAGCAGATTCCTTGTATGACTGCCAGCATTTCTTACACAATTTCCTTCGATGTCTAAGTCTATCATTTCTCTTAATGTCGCAACAGACTTTGATGCATCCGCTAGATCTTCAACCTGTCACCAACGTCATAGAAACTCTACACTCATATTTACATTTCAAAATCAAATACAGAAAAGAAATATGGTAAGCAAATGTCTTCTGGTATAGGCCTCACATTTGGATAATTGCTCGTTTGCATCCATTGCAACTAAATTGGTAAAATTTGATCAAATGGACACGCAAAACGAATGTTTATGAGCCAGATCATATTGCAATGATAACAATGACTAGGAGAGTGCATGAGCATTTGTTAACAGGGAAAATTCAAACGTTTTGGGAGTTCATGTTTGTGATGCCTTTGAACTCTGAAAGTAACCAATCACATTGGAAACTTAAGCATATCACGCCTAGCAATTAAACTTTAAAGGAGTATCACTTCTTTGAAAATTGGGTTTAGGATGAAACTTCATTTCCACTAACGCGTTGGGGTGGCTGTAAAAAAAAAAGATCCTAACATAGACAAGGGAAATTTTATGTAAAGAGTGGACAGGTTCTTTTTTTCTTGAGAATTTAATTGAAGAGGAAGTAGCAAAAGTTCCCCTTATAAGTGTCTATAAAAATGATAAAGTAAAATTTTCTACGAAAATGAAAACAGTAAAATTGCAATGGAAGGAGTTTAGTTCATCTCCTTCAGTTCTGAAGTTACAGGTGGGTTGGTATTGTATTTTGCTTTCCAGTAAGCCCTAATGGAATGTTGTGTGATCAACAATGAAGTACTCTGCATATTTTTAGTAGAAATTTACAATAGAGATGCATACATTTGATTATAAATCGTTAATATAAGACTGAATGGATGGGTTTTAGGATGAAATTGGGAGTTGGAAAAATAATACTTAATCGATGAAGAAATGAAGGGGACATACGAATACATATACCTTGGCTACATAATCGAGCTCGGCAAACTTGAAGGCGATGCCGAGGCAGGCGAAGAGAGGGGAGACATGAGAGCAGGCACTAGAAAATGCGCCCACTTGGATCTGCTGCGCTTCTTCACCAGACTGGGAAGCGATGCACTTTGATAGGTCTGTGAAGGCCTCAGCCATCATCCTCAACGGCTTTCCTTTCTCCGCCATTGAAAAGAATTAGCCAAGCTTGAAGCTCCTCTCTCTCCTCCTCTCTTCAAGTCATTGGTAAGGTACCCCAATTTTTTAAAAGACCAAACACTATAGGTCCTTTAACTTTATCAGTTGTGCATGATTGGTCCTTCAAGTTTCAAAAATTCATGAATAGTCCTTCAACTTTATAAGTTATGCACGATTGGTCCTTCAAGTTTCAAAAGTCTATAAATAGTCTTTCAAGTACACGTCACTCCTTCAAATGAGGTCCTTTTGACGGTAAACGGTAAAAGCTAAATGGAGTACTAGCTTCATATAATACGGAGTAGTCGTACTTAGTGGAATTTTCTCGTATTATATGGAACTAGTATTCCAATTAGCTTTTAATGTTTACTGTCAGAAAGACCTAATCTAGAGAACTGATGTGTACTTGAAGGACTACTTATGAACTTTTGAAACTTAAAGGACCAATCGTGCATAACTCATAAAGTTGAAGGACTATTCATGGACTTTTGAAACTTGAAAGACCAATCGTGCACAACTCATAAAGTTGAAGGACCAATGGTGGAATTTAGTCTTTTTAAAAAGAAATCTATTAGAGTAAAAAACTATAAAAATATTAAAATAACTTTATATCAAAATAGGAGTTCTAAATCTTTTAAGATCAAAATAGAAATATAATGACACTGTGATGTAAAAATATGCATTGGCATTGTAATGAAAAAGTGATAACAGCGTAATATATTTGTGTCGATGCGGCACTCTGGCAATGATGATAAAATAACAGTGTAATGACAATGTGGCAATGATGATAAGAAATTACAATGTGACAATGTCGTAAGTCTGACACTGTAAGAATGATAGTGTGAACTCCTATTTTGGTCATAGAAAAGTTGTGACTCATGTTTTGGTATTTTTATAGTTTTTACTTCAATCTAGACAGTTCTACCTTTTAAAAATTCTTCCTCCATCCAAAAATTATATTCTCATTACGCGTTATGATATTTGTCTGAAGTTATTTTCAATTCATTTTTATGAAGATTGTTGTTGATTTTAAAAAAAATTGCATACCTAAAAACTACATCAAAACATCTACAAAACTAGATGTGACATAATTATATAATTTTATCAAATAGACAACGAAAATAGATAAACAAAGTGAATAAATTTTGACAAAGTGAATAATGAACAGAAAGATAATATTTGGACTGGGGGAGATTGTGCAAATTAACCACCCAGACAAACTGTTTTAGACTGGGTCTAGTGTAGTTTGCTGAGTTTAAAGAATGAAAGGTCTAGGAAAATAGAGAATGAGCGGTAAGACTGTAGGTGGAAACACCTCTAGTCCAATTGTTATTAATTATGTATAGAGTGTTGGGCGCTATTACAATATGAACTCTAGAGAAATAAAATTCGGATCCCTTCGTTTGAGGGTTACACAGGTTAAGGAAATGGAGGAGACAGAGCGCCGTGCATCCACATCAGCCCACGTTCTCAGATGGTGCGAGGTCACTTCCTCTTGTGCCGTAGCATTTTGTCTTATTCCCTTGTCAGCTTGTGATGATGACTCCTTCTTTGGCGTGTAGCGCCAACTAAGATTGAGGGAAAATTTTCTAAATCTTTGGTTGAAATCAGTCACTACCATCCAACAGACTTTAGAGTTATTCGTGCTGACACTTTCACACCGTAGTAAACTACCCAGCATGTTTACCTCCTGCATTTCGAAGGGGCAGAAGACCATCAACTTGAAGTCACGTACTTTTGACCGGTGAGTCCAAAGTTTGTACCGGTCAACTTTTTTGAATCTGAATGATACTCTATTTTTAGCACAAATCTTTCATTCCAATATGTTCAAATCTTCCACTCCGGATCCTAGGTGAAATACACTCATCAATAAGTCCTCCACTTCTCAGCATTGTAAATTTATCAAGGGCGAGAAGTGAAAATTTAGAATCTGGCGCTTGAAATTTGAATTTTAAACTTTTCCCGCCTACACTTTTGAATTTTGAATTTCAAAAATCAAAATTTCAACACGTGTCGCGCTCTTTTAGTACACCATCATTGTGTTTTGCCTCTTGTTTCGCCTTCCCATGTGCCACGCGTGCGCCGGTTGACGCTTCGTTTCCTCTGCCTGCCACACGTTGCGCCATCCTCCTCCTCGCCTATATAAAGGCTTTCTCCTCCCTTCTTCAGGTCACTTTTCACAAATCCGCTCTCGAATTCTTCCCGGTCAAGTACTTTATCATCCCTCCGAGTCTTCTATCTTCCAAGTAAGTTCACGGTTCTTCTTTGCTTTCCATTACCAATTATGTCTTCTGAAGATAGCCAAAACGTTTCTGTTGCCTCGTATGCATCTCTATCCAAGGATTCCACCTGTCCTCTTATTTTTCTTCCTCTTCACATTCTTCATCTCCTTCTCGGGAGGGGCCGGTTCCCGAGGGTATTCCAATTCCCAAACCTGCTCCTATTAACCAGGATCCAGGTCCCTTTGACCCTAACAATGAGACCCAGCAGGTTATTTTCCCCTCCCTTCAGATAATGTTAGGGAAATTCCCATGATTGTTTCCAAAGTCGCCCTGACTAAGGTGCACCGGTTGCTCCTCGAGGATTATACTCTTCAGTATTACCCTAATTGGCCTAACATTATTGAACCACACTGGGGATGTAGGTTAGGATTCCACATCAAGTCTCTGAAGGATGGCATAATTTTTCCTCTCCACCCCCTTCTGGTTGGGGCCTGCCATGCCTTTTCTTTTCTTACCGGGCAGATAACCCCAAATGTCCACCGAGTATTAAACTGTTTTGTGAATATTTGTTAATTCCTTCGAATAAATCCATCTCTTTCCCTCTTTGTCTTCATGTTCGAAATCCTCCTCGGTTAAGGCGGGCATGAGGGTTTTGTTTTCTTTAAGTTCCGCAAAAATAGGGTGTTCATTTCTGACCTCCCCTAGAGTAACTGGGGGTGGAAAAACCATTTTGTTTTCATTGACTTCCCGGAAGTCGATTTTCTACTGGCAGGTTTGCGGCGGAATGATCACTTGTTAAATCACGAGTACAGTGTATCAGCCAGTACCCCATAGTTGGAAAGGGATTGTGAAACACTCATGCAGGGCGATCCTCACACCGGGGTGAAATTTTCCTTCGGAAGCTGTGCAGGGAGAGTTAACTGGGGTGGTGAGGGTACCTCGAATGCCCATGAAGCAGGGGGCACGGGGTATCCTCCTCAGGCTATACTGGAGAGGCCGGGTGTCATCGTCACTCATGTTCAACTTCCTTCTTTTAGTTTATTTTTGATTTTGTACCGGCCTTTTGTTCAGTACTTGACCAATTTATCCTAATCTTTCGGATATGGAGTTCGATTCTTATGAAATTCAGGAGACGACCGGTGCGTCTGGCCCAAGTGGCTCCCAACTAACTCCTTTTACATATTGTTACGCCACTACCTATTCTTTATTGTGATAGTCAATAAGTTATCTGTCTCACCAAAAATTTGGTGTTCCATAAGCGCATGAAACATGTGGGCACAGATTGTCATTTTGTTCGAGAGCAAGTTATTGATGGGTCCATGAGTGCTAAACATGTTGCTTCTAAGGATCAACTTGTGGGTTTCCTGACCAAGCCGCTGACGTCACAGCGCTATAAGACTCTCGTTTCCAAGCTTCCTCTTGCTTCTGCTCAACTCAGTTTAAGGGGGGATGTTACCAAGAATATTACTTAATTATAATTAGTTGTGGACCTCTTGTGATATTAGCCCAATCTATCTCGATATATACTCTGTAAACATTATTTGTCTAATTGAGATATTCATTCAAGTTTCAATATTGACAAACAATATACTTCAAAGTGAGATATGATTCACGCAAGCTCTCTCTAAGAAAAAGTATATTTAAAATAATCACATTGAGTTTTTCTTGTGTTTATTAAAAGTTAAAGTTTGATGCAAATAATCACACAAGAACAAGAATGTACTTAAGTTGAGTTATATATGCACCTCTTTTAAATATACATCTTCTCTCCCTTTTGTCAAAATAAAAAAGGGCATTCAAAGAATTTAAACATGTATATCTTCTTAAAACTCTCCCTCTATCAAAAGAAATTTTCAAAAAAATGATTGTTCGGGAATCATTGAGTAAAAGGTACATTACAACAAAACTTCTCTTAAAACAAAAAAAAATCCCCCTAAATTAATGCAAGTTTTAAAAACTTATTTTTAAGAGAATTTTCATTTTTAAAAAAAAGTATGATCAAAATTTAAAAAATACATGATCATGCAAACAAGGCTATGAACAAAGTGGATCACATATGTGATAAACTTTTAGTCTAAAAGATTAACAAAAAAACTCTTATCCCAATAAGTATGAACAACTTACATTAGCTTATGTCGTTCTTTCATCCGCTTAGAAGGCTTGGAGTATTTTATAAAATTTTCTTTCCTCTTAGTGTATTCTTTAATAAATTCTTAAAAATAACGTCAATCGAATATCATAAACCAAAATAGACAATTTAAATTGGGACAAAAAGAATAATTTTTATTTTTAAATTTTATACTAATTCACTTAAACTGATTCTAAAATAACTTCAATAAAAAAATCATAGATCAAATCTAGAACCTTCTTATGAGACAGACGGATTGAATGATTTGTAACAATTTTGGTTTTGACATTTTCTAAACTTTGAATTGATAACCTTGTCAATTTTCAAAAGTACTTTACAAAATTTAAACGGCACATTTAAAAATAATAAAGTTCCTATTCTTTTAGTCTAAATGTATTCCGCGACCATCAAGTAGTGATCCAAATAACAATTAGGACTATGCTATGTGTACCCCAAGGTTTGTACCCCAATTTGTACCTCGCAGTTTTGCACCAATAATTTGTGTTAGTGTAAAACTAATTTTTGTTAAACGCACCAACATTTGTGTCCGTGTGAATTTTTATTAACACACCAACACTTGTGTCGGTGTAAACCATCGAAATGTTTGTGCAAACCTGTGGTGTACAAATGGGGTATATTTTTTGGTGTAAATGTAGCATGGTCCTAACAATTATGATAGAGTTATTATTGCTAAAAAAAAAGTAGCGATCTAAATACAAACGTTCAGCCAAAATTGCAACAATACATTGGTTTTTAGAATTTTCGCCCAAAGGAACACTTAAAATATTTAAAGCAGAGAAAAATACCGCTACACTTGCAGCAATTTCACACCCCTTAAACATGAAAAAATATACTATTTATCATGAACCCAAAGAATTACATTAAGTCATTAACCACATGTGTATAAAGAAAAAAAGGATGAAGAGAGAGTTCCGCCATGAATGGAACATGAAATTAAACGCAAAAGAAAAGAGAAGGATGAATTAAAAAATGCTAGAACCCACTACGATTGACACGTCGGATGACAACCGTATTTGAATTTGTACAAACATACGCGATAATCGTCTGTGAACACATAAAGTTCACAGACAATTATCGTTTGTGTGTACAAATTCACAGACGGTCAACCTTGGTAGGTTTGTAGCATGACTCTGGATAAATATGCCCAGCAATTTAAAAACTATGAGAACAAGGTGACAACATCTCTGCGGTAACCTCGGACGATCAACAACCTTGGCACATTGTCAACCAACAGGTCCATATACTCCATGTAGAAGTAGGCCGGGTGGTTGAGTGGTGGGGCGGGAAGGCTCACAAAAACGACAGCCGCCATCCTAGAGTATTTCAGTATCGTCGCGTTGAGCTTCAAAGTGGTGTAAAGAAACTTCTCCACCTGTGTCTCACTGACCACAACCCTCTTCCCGTCGGCCATCAAAAACGGCCTCCCTTCCCTCTCAGCTGCCGCCTTCATCTCCACCAGGTACTCACCGATCCTCTGCCACGCACCGGTGACTGATTCTTGAGGCTCCTCACCCCCTGGGGTTTCCCAAGACTTCATTGAAATCACAATGACCTCAGCTTGCATCCGGAGATCGTATAGGAATTTCTTCACATCAGATCTCAGTTCCTCTGCATTAGAGTCCTCTTCTGCGATGCAGAAAACCTGAATCTTACAACCGTCGAAGCTGGCTTTAGTCAGGAGGAGCTGGGAGAGAAGAAGCATGAGGCCACCGTCTCTAACTATCCAGTACAGATCGATTGTACCGTACTGTCTTTGGTACTCATTGGGCCACTCGTCTAGGCCCTTCACTATAACGACCGCCTTGTTGGCAACAATGCAGTCGTTTATTATCCCGACAAAGGTGGCGGGGATTTCGAGTAGATTCTCGCGGCGCCAGATTTCAGGGTACCGCATCACGACTATATTGGGCTTGAGGTTTCCAAGGCCCATAGTCTGAACGATGCCCCTGAATCCGGAGGACATGTTTGGGGCAACAACAATCTCTGCCACACCTTCACACTGCTTGTAGTCGAGGTAGGTACTTAACTGCTTGCATGCCGTCTTGGCATCCTCTGCATGCTCGAGGTAATCTCCGTCCATGATGGAAACAAAGACAGACATTCCCCTCCCTTTTTTCTTCATGCAGTTGGCAAAGTCAGCAAGCTTGGGATGGCAAGGAACATTCTCTGGCAGCTTGCCCCAAGGACGACAAAATATTAGAGGAATTGGATACCAATTCTTCGGGTGTACCTGGGTTGCTGCATACCAAAACTAGATGTTAATAACCACAGGCAATTTGGCATGTCTTCACCTAGAGCCCATTAAGTACCCTGCTAATTTTGGCTTATATGAAAGACTAGACTAAGTTGATTGCACTAGCTGCATCGGGTTTTTTGTTAAAAAGAAAAAAACATTAGTAGCACAGAAGTTTCTTTGTCACTGGAATGAATATAAGTGAGACTTCTACTCTCCTATATTAGAGATAATTTCGTTTAACTTAAATTGCAATTATTATATTTATAATCTTTTTATAAGATAATTCGGTCTACTAATCCATTTCAGCCACAAAATCATCAAATCCAGCTTATTTAGTAATTTTGGCGAAATTTACATCTACTAAACACTCTTAGCGTGCGTGCACACACACACACACACACACTCTCTCTCTCTCTCTCATCCTGCTGGAGTTTTCCAAGTTCCCTAATTTGGTTGTCCCAGAAGATATTCACATTCCGTTTTAGATCATGACAAAAGCAAAAAAAAAGACCACGCTACCCTGTACCCCAAATTCTTTAGTCTTTACTTGTTTTAGTAGTAGACCTTCCATTACAAGGGCATATACATTCATTTAATATATTGAACAACTCTTCTCCCAACCAAGGTTGGAAAGCTCCAACAGGACCGTGGAAGCATTTAAAAATTAAATAATTGATATCATCCAAAAAAGAATTATGCAAAAAGAAATGGAAGAATTAAGTGTGTGTGTGTGTGTGTGTGTGTATCAAAGCACCAAACTGCAACGAAATGCAACGGCTCTTTGGCAATAAAAATAAATAAGAATAAATATGAATACTACACCTCCTATAGATCGTAGACTGCGAAGAGCAAGCTGAAAATAGGCACTCTTGAACCCATCACCCCAGTCTCCGGCTTTTCCCTTGAGGCAAACGTAGTAATATATGAGGCTTGCAAGGGCCAATGCCACAATAGTAAATGTCCAAGATATTAAAAACATAATAACTGCATGGAAAAGACAAGGATAAAACTTATAGTATATACACTTTCAAATGCACCAGGAGACTTGGATAGTTTTAACTAGAAGTTGCATGACAAAACCACACCCGGAAACATACCTATACAAAGCAATGCTCCCACAAGAGAGAGACTCCAGTGGTGAAATTTCCACCGAGGACGCCAGCTGGGAGCATCTAAAAGATCCAGAAGAAAGCAGGACAAATTTACACCCGCGTAACATAGAAGAAAAAACATTGTTGTGGTTGGTGAGATAAGGTCTATATTCCCAATAACAACACATCCCATACAGATGAAGGCAGTGAACAGAGTCGCCACATTAGGTTCACTTCCATCCGAAACCTTGAAGTAATTAAGAACCGGCAGTATGTCATCATTTGCTATAGCTGCAAGAAGACGTGGAGCACCAGCTAAACTCTGAAGAGCAGCACCCAAGGTTGAAAGAATGATGCCAACATAAACAATCGCAGGGGAAGGCCAAGCAACTGAAGCCGTTAATAACCTGCGCAAATACGTTAAGTCAAACAGAAGTGTGTAGAAGAGAAGCTCATCTTACACTATATGTCCGTCTTTCCACAAGAACTTGGGAGTTACACATCATATCGGAAAAGTCAAATGAATTCTCCAATTACAAAATACAACATACTCCACTGGCCACTTTCTTGTGTAATGTTTCAATAACACCGCTTCTTGGAACTAAATTTACCATTTACAGAAAAGAACTAGAGAACACCCATCCATAGTTATTAAGAGCGCAAGGTGCACTAAGACACAAAAGGGTCCTAGAGGCGTGACCGCGTGAGGCGCAATTGAGGCCCACACATCAAGAACATGAGGCACAAAGAAGGAACAAAAAGATAAGTATATTCAAGAATAACAATACGAACTATCCAAACACATACGGAACACAACCCACATTAAAAATGAAGCCTGTGGTACTAAAGATGATATAAAGTAAAATACAGTTAGCAAATCTCATAAGTCATAACAAATCAAGAATGTTTTCTTCCGTGATACATGCTGAAAAAATATTTTAAAATTTAAGATATTAATGAGATTGTCAATGGAGCTAAAAGAATCATTATTGACAATAGTTTAGTTTCGGGCACACTATGGACTACACCAATTTGGCAAATTAAACTTCTCTTGCTTCTTACTTTCTATGAAATTTAAGATATAGACTAAAAATGACGTAGAATGAGGGATTTAAAAAGAGGGTATTGTAACCTTGGGACTTTAAGAACACATTACAAACTTCATAAAAAAGAATGGAAGATGAAGATACTTGTGGATAACCATGTGAAATTATTCATCGGTGCATGTAGCTGACTCTAGTTATTTTAGAATTAGAGCTCGGATTTTGTTGTTGTGATACATGATTTTGTGAGCCAATACAAGCTAGCATGGGAATGAAAAAAAAATATTCTCATATTCCATACATACAGAAGTAGCATCTGCCATCTGAGACACCAAATCCAGTGCCAACTATATCTAAGAGTGTCTAATCGGGCACTTGACACACCTAAATATGAATCGTTATTGGGACCAGCAGCTGATTTTAGAGCAATAATCTAAGCACTACTCTCCTTATTTGGAATGCACAATGTTGGCATTTATATTGATAGAATTTAGGATGGGGAAAGGGTTTCTAGATTGGGCGGGCAATAAGACACTTGGGCTGAACCACATTAAAAGATTGAATCCAATCGATTACTTAATTCAACTCAAGAGCTTATATACCGATTTATTTTCTCGGTGAGTTCCGATGTGGGATACCCTTTAACACATATAACAGGTTAAATGAACTTTTTGATAAGCATTGGGCATATTCAAACTGTGTCACAATCATTAATTATACTGTTCGTTGCATCAAAAATAATTATAATGTGTGTGTGTGGATACTGTGTAGAGACGAGCCAGACATCATCCCACGAGTTCCACCTTTTCTTTAAAACCACAAAAAAGAATAAGCATAATATGCACAATAATACCTGTCAGTCAAAAGTTTCTCTCTGTTTGCAACAGCTCCAAAGAAAAACACAGTAATCAAATACAACCCAGATGTTGTCAATGTTGCAGCTAAGGTTCCACTAGGAATAGAACGCTGGGTGTCCTTCAGCGATGCTGAACGATTAGAACCTGCCATGATCCCAGTCACAGCAGGGAAAAACAGACCGACCAATGCACTGAACAGGTGCAACAAATTAAAACGTATCGAGTCATCATGGTAGTAATTAGCACATGAAATATTATTGATCAAAGAAGTTATCCCTAGTAAGAGCATGTTCTCCCCAACTTATTACTTATTCTTATAGAATCAAACAAGACCAGATTGAACCAAATGTGCAAGTCAAATTGTGCGAGGCCTTTGGGTATAAAGGGAGTATATCAGTTCATACAATTTATTTTGAAACACTATAAGTTAAAACACTACTTATAGGTTGTTGTTAAAACACTACTTTCTTAAAATGAAAAGTACTCCCCTCATTTGCCCTACAACCCCTCACATACCATTAGGCAATGGCAACAGGTTTGCGTGATCAGAAATGTCCTTAATGAATTGTTAAGGAATGGCATGCAATGACTTTATCTTTTCTCATTCCCAGATCCAGCCCAAGACGCCAAAAAACATGACAAAAAGGTTTCATTTAATGAACAAGTAGCAGAACTCAAGCATATCTTACTTAAAACTCCAGTATATCTTTCCATTGGGATCTGGAATTCCGGCATTGTTAGTCATCTGAAAGTCAGGACTCCAGTTATCCTTGAAAGACTTCATGGTCAACCCTGTGATTCCAACTGTAGAAAAACCAAAGATTACAAAGGATACATGTATATGACGATTGTGCGCATACAACTAGAACAGAAAATGAAATAATTTAGCAAAGCAAAAAGCCCCGAAACATAAAACCCCATTGACCATCAACAAGTACAGTTAAACATACTAAAACATTATATCTATGTTGAAATTACACTAGGTTTTATTGTTGTATATCAAACAAGCTTTTCATGGAAAGAGACTTTAATTGGCATTATACCAAAGCGCTTCTTCTTGAAAAAGATATACAACAAAGAAAAAAGACAAAGATTGATCAGCATGAACCTGCTGGATGGTCCTTCCTTGCCACTAGTATGCCAATAAATATGCAGCACAGTGAGAGCAAAACAGGTATGAGGAAAGCTGGTGCAACACGGTTGATAATTTTGACACCTCCAAATACTATGAAGCATAGAACAATAGTGACAACAACCCCATAAATTTGCAGGTCATGTAAGCTTGGCCTTGTAATTGGCTCTGCAATTGCTGTACCATTAACTCTTGTGATTGTCTCTGCATAAATGCAATGAGAAGAACAAAAAAATTAATTTTGGTGTATCACCAACACCCCGAGAAATTTCAAAAAAAAACAAAAAACAGCAAACAATCACTTACAAGCTCATTGAGTGTTTGAAAAAAAACAACTGAACAAGTAAAAACGATTTGGGACGCCTCAGATATTGAGTAAAGAGATCAGGCATCAGAAACTAACATGAAAATTCTAGCTATATGATAACTAATTCATAAAACAAGATTAGGGGGAAATCCTCAACTTTTTGGTTGCCTTTCACAATTCACAGGCTGATACATGCACCTTATGATAATCCTAAAAAATACCTCTAAAAATCCCTGCACCTGGCACAGCATCTAAGAATGCTTCTACAGCTCCCAATACATACCTGAAGCACAAGCAAGCATGAAACATCAATCTGATGTACAATAAGAATAGTGCCAAGGGAAATATGATTAGATCTTATACTCACATAGCACCAGAAATAGCAGTCCCCAGAAAAAAACATAGACCAATACTGACACCAACCTCTGGACCCAAGGCGCGACCAATAAGATAGTACGGGCCACCACCCTGAGAAATTGTATGATAATATCAATAACACAAGTACTATGCAGAACCAAAAATATTACAAACAAAAGTACTTTCCGAACTAGTAAGCATCAAGAATAGAAAATAGGTTATGTCATTGACATCCAGAAAATCCAAGCAAGAACATCCATTTACCTTCATTGCACCATTAGTTGCAATGGCACTCAATGATATTGTAGTCAGGAAAGTGCAGGATCCACATAAGGCAACTAGCAACAATGACTCACTAATACCAGACATTCCAACAATCCTGTAATTCTCTCACACAAAGGCACAAAATAGAAAATAGATAGCTAAATCATTATTCTGAAGAATAGATAGCAAGCACAACCAGGTTCTCATATAGTTTAAGATCAGATAATGTGACCCGAAAAATTATTTTCCGCTCCCAACTTTCTTTGCACCCCTCTAACATCTCATCAGGCTCTCCTATTGAAGATTATTTAATGAAGGAAAGTACTGACAAAACCTCCTTTTGACTTTTCAACATAGCCACAGCACAGTGGTATGTTCAAATTCCTAGTGTATGAAATTTACAACAAATCTTTGAATAAATAAGATTATAATGTTCTATAAAAAACTCGGGAGTATACATTTTTGGAACGCATGACTCACTCACTAACTTTCAACCATACACATCATCTAATTGGAACTCTAAGTAAACCATAAAAGTTTACAACCTTACCAGGAAAATCTTATATAGTAGATGATTCCTAAGATATTTTGCAAGCATGGCACAAACACTCCCATCATTGTTCCCAATTTTACACCAGTTGGCTGCATGAATTAGCCACATTAATGAAGATCATAAAAGGGATCAGAGAAGTCAAAACATGCAGAAATTAGAATGGCAAAAGTTTGTACCAATAGCAAACCATTCTGTAGAGCTAAAGTTTGATTACACATGTTCAATATGAAACTAATATACATTCCAAGTACATACAACCTACCCAGTAAGGTGACTAAAAGTGAAGAGGGGTCTGGGAGGGAGGGTGTACGAGACCTTAGTCACCTTACCCCCAGTCCCCCACCTACACCTAGAGAGGCTGTTTCCAAAAGACCCTGATTTCAAGTTCCAAGTACATATTACATAATGGAAATTCATATTTCATTCAAAGTAAAATGTAAAAATCTAAAAATGGAATATGATAGAAGAGCATACAATAAGAACATTCTTGAAAGAACATCACACTAAAAACAGCAAAACAATTGAACTGATATTCACCCACAGGATATTTTAGAGTAATGCCTTCGCTTGTGTATATTTAGCTAGACAAAATTGATAGTCATGCCTTGAGAAGAGTAGAAGAAAATCTCACTCTGACACACCTGAATCTTATACAAACACCATACAACTCAGTCAAATTAGAATTATACCTAGTAAGAAGCAAAAAAGGCACTATGAATGGTCTCAAAAGCACTTCCTCAATCCACAGCCAAAAGCTACAATTCATGAAAGCAAGCTAGCCTCTGGACAGCTTCAAAATCCTTCTCTAAGGTGTGTGTTACAAACTATCTTAACTCCCTCAAGTCAACCTTAAAGCTCTTTCTACAACAGAGAACACTATTGATTCCCACAATATTTAAATTAGATCACTATATCTATTGATCTCTCCTCTACCAATCAAACTAGCAACTGTTTCGTGAAAGCCATAAGATAAATGGAGAAAATCAGGAAATATAAAACCTATAAATGAAGGAATATGATTCAAACATTGCATAGTTTAAAAAGATGAAAGCCCCGCTAACTTGATAAGAATAGCACAATTAATAAATCTTGTCAGTACCTGAGGATGCCCAGCTGTGATAGTTACATTATCACCATCTCTGGGACTTGAGGGGGCAGGCATTGGATCCCCTAACATACTGGAATAAAAATACTCATAAAACTATTTGCATCAAATTCTTAATCCTTAAAGATTAACAGTCTTGAAAGGAGAAAAGGCATGTATACAGCATGGAAATAAAATGTCAAGAAACCTTGAAAATTCTGGTTTTGACACACGGCAAGAGAGAAATAGCAGATCAGATTTACCATACACAACATTGTGACAATGTTCGTCTGTTGCCAAAGAAGATGAAAGAGTCTTTCTTTTTCTACGATGTTTTAACTTTGGGTAGATAATGGACTAAATCAAATTGGCACATTAAACCATCCTCTTTCTTACGTTCTATGAAGTTTTGGACAGTAAATGCATCAAGGGTCTAACGGAAACAACCTCTCAGTTTTTTTCAGGAGTAAAAAGAGAGTTGGGATTATGCCAGGTTTGTTCATGACATGGCAACAGTGGCTTTCTTAGATATAAAAGTGATAAAGTAAAAAGCAATTGAAAACTCAGATGTAGTAATCCACCACTTACCTCTTAAGACCAAGAATATTGACAAGGGAATCAAATCCAAACAACTCCAACTTCGATTCTGTCTGAGTGTCACTGACACCAGCATGATTATGTAAAGGAGATCCTCTTCCTTCAGAAGCTAAATTTGGCTGCACACCCACTTTAATTTTCCTGTCCAAATTGTGCAAGACAACATTGTGGTATAAATTACATTAAAGCCTTAGTGTTTCTACTTTATACCCAGTCCTCAATATGCAGGCTTTCAATACAACTCAAGTAAAATGAACAAATATCATATTTTGTCTATCAAGGTGTAAATATCTCAAATAGTAAAGTATTCTAGAGAAAGTTAAGGGAAGTGTTCCCAAATCTTTAATAAAATAAAAATTCTTTGAAGGATAATGTTACAGATCTAGGATTTAATATTAACTAATTTTATTATTATCATTATCATCATCATCATCATCATTATCATCATTCTTATTACTATTGTTGTTATTATTATTATTATTAGTTTCATAAAAATTATTATTATTATTGTAAGTTCTCTATTACTATTATTATTATTATTATTATTATTAGCTTCTTCTTATTATTAGCAATATTAATAGTTTCCTATCAGCAGTGTTATTTTATTTTATTTAATAGAACAAGCAGGGATTTATGTTTCCTAATATGATTGCGATAGGTCTTTTGTAAGGTTTTGCATATCTATACTCACACAATTATTAATAAAATTGTCATAGTTGAAGCAATTAAACAATTCTTCCTAATTACTTATTAGCCATGGACTACAGAATCCAAAGTTCTCCTTCTAGCCACAAGCAAGAGAAGGGTTCTTCATCTATCTCAGGGATCTCTTGGGATCTCTAATAGCTACAAACTGAAGTAAAATGCAGTTTATACTAGCACTTTCCCTCACTTATAATTTATAAACTGCTCTAGTTCGAATTGCCAAGTGGTAACGACTTACGAGTCATGATACTAATCAAACTATGGTAAATTAAATATACTTTCTGCACCTGATTCTAAATGTTAAAATCTCATCATATGACAGCATATAAGTTTCACCAGTTACTACTTACTATATGTCCCTTAGTGCCTTATTCTAAATTCACTACCATCAAGAGGATTCCATCTTATGAAACCCGTTTTCATTAAGTGTGCATGTTACATCTTTTCATGGTGTAACCTTAGGTCAGCGTGAATGTGATAAGACACCCTTATTGCATATTTTAAACAAGAAAGTTCTATTAAAAGCATTAAGATTTTTTCCTCCCTTTACGAAACAACATGCCCCAAAACTTAATCCAAAAGAAAAAGAATCCTTCAAACTTTCTCACCAAATGGAGATCAATTAGGCCTTCAACTCCTAATACTCAGACTACTCAGTCATTCATCTGTGCCTTGGTGGATGTTTTTAATGCCCCACTGCTGTAACATTTTAACACACCTATACTGGACCTAAATCCAGAATTCCATACTAGATCATAGCATAGACGAGATTTAATATCCTAGGCAACAATATTCAAAACCCTTTCACTAGAACACCTACTTCCACCCAAGTTACAAACTGTGTGCGTGAATTGTGCTCAAAAAAGAATGCAGAAAAGGGATTAGTACTCAAAAAGATAATGCCGTGCCACACTATTAGTACCAATAAGATTCCAATCAAAAAGGGCATGCCAAAGTTCCAAATCTTGATTCTCGGTCACTTCATTAGCTAATAAAATGTCATGCAAATTGATAACTAAAAGAAGAAAACATTCCACATTTGGTGGTTGACGTCTGAAGGGCCAGTAATCAATTTGAAAAGGCATTTTCAAAAGAGATGGCAGTTCAGAGCAGAGAGTCAATGCGCAAAGTGGGCATAAGTGTTCGGGGGAAATGCAGTGTCATTAATGATCGAAACTTAATGTTTGCAATTTTCCAGTATTCCCTACAGTTCTATAAGAGATGTTGTTTCCTTGAGTAGATAGTAACCTCACGGTCACATGGCAGCACTACATTAGAAGATCTATAAATCCATTTAAACTACAACAGGTAGCCAACCTGTATATAGAACATCAAATGAGCCCCTACCATGAAGAAATGAACGCTGCAATAGAAGAATAAATCGAGCAGAACACTACAACTTAAGATAAGCTTAACTTGACCATTGGACAACATTTTAAACTCCTTTTTATCATCTTTTCATGGAACAATAATCCTCCATTAATTATGGAAACCCCAGGAGGAACTGAATTTCTTGGCCTTCTAAAACCTTGCCTCAAGATTTGAGTGGGATGTTTAGAGCTTATTGTTTATGAATTACTGGCATATGAATCATCAAGTCTCTCTATGAATGACTATGCCAAATTACAAGTGAACTTAACACAGAACTGGCCAACTGAATTGCACTGAAGGGAGAGAGAAACGGAATCTCTAGATACCGTACCTGAGATCCTGAGACGGGGCAGAAGGCCCGAGATCAACTGACGATATCTCCATGACCGCTGGATCATTATCGTGCGCCACCACCGGCGTGTACTTGCTCCGACGCAGGCCAGACGACGGCGGGAAAACTGCATTCTCTTCGTCGGCGTCAATTCCATTCCCTTCTTCCCCACTCTCTAAAGTCTCCAATGCCGCATCCCGATTCCGGCCCATTTCAGCACCCCAGTCAACCTGCTCGCTTAAACACGGAGGTTAACGGATAACTTATCTATGCTTGACAATGACATGAATTGGTAGTGTATGCTAGTCCCATAGGGCAGATTGGAGAGCAGGATCCGACTCGAGAAGAAAATGGAAGACAAGGGAAGAGATGTGCTGAGACTGCTGACAGTTCACGTTTAATTTAATGAGGATTTGAATATCATGGGATAAAGTTTAGGGCGGTGATAAACACCAGCTCTAAAACTACTCCGTATTATACTACTCAGTATAAAATATAGCCCTATGAAATCATATGGAATAAATGATATAGGTTTTAAAATTTAAAACGGAGTTATTTGAAGAAACTAAAAATCATGATTTAATTAGTGATAAACGAGAGGTGGTTGGCGGTGATAATGGTAGTCGGTGACGGAAAAAAGATCAATAGTTAAGAGAAATATTAAACCCTCATATTGACATCTCCCAAATTTTAGAGATCTGCACTATTTGGAGGATTTATGGTATCTGAAGATATCATATTCAATATTTTTTGGACTTTACCAAATAGACAAAAAAATTGATATTTGAAGATATCAAAACCATGGGTGTGTTTGGTGCACAAATAAGGTATGTGTTTTGATATCACCAAATATCAAAATTCTTTTTAATTGTTTGGTGAAGCCAAAAAAGATATCGAATTTAATATCTCTAAATATCATAAATCATTTAAATAGAAAATTTTGATATCTCCAGAATTTGGGAGATATCAATATGGGGTTTTATATCTCTCTCAACCATTGATCATTCTCCGTCACCGGCTATTATTGTCACCGCCAACCACCCCATTGTCGATCACCCCTGTTTATCATTAATTAAATCATGATTTTGAATCTCTCCAAACAACTTCATTTCGGATTTCAAAACACATTTCTCTCAAATTTCATAACATATATCTTATACTACGTAATATCTTTAATACTCCATCCGTCTTAAAACTATCTTTCCAGTTACTCTTCACACTGTCAAATTTAAATCATTTTCTTTACTTATTTTCGCTACTTATTTGATAAAATAATATAGTCTTGTCACCTCTCGCTTTGTAGAACTTTTAATGTAGTTTTCAAATATGTAAATTTTATTTTTTAGTTTTATACCTACAATCAAATAAATTAAATTGAAAATAAAGTCGGTCAGACCTCGTAAACACAAATGGGGAGATAATTTTAGGATGGAGGGAGTACAGTATTATATTATTATTTGAAAAAAGTTATAAAACTTTATTATGTTAAAAACCATTATAAACAAGTGTGTAAAACTATTTATCGTTTATTTCATTTTATCACTTTTCAAATAAAATAATAAATATTTTGGTTTTAATATTAATTACTCCCTCCGTCCCATAAAACCTTTCTCCTTTCTTTTTTCATCCGTCCCATAAAACACTTCTCATTTCTATTAAAAAGTCACTTTTACCCCTTACTTTTTCATACCCTACCTATCACATCATACCTTTTTACTAATAATATACTCATCAAATCCTACTTTTACACATCACATCAAAAGACATTTTTGGAAATTCAATACCAAAATACACTCCCCTAAATGTCTTCAAAAAACAAAACATCCCATGTTTCATGGGACGGAGGGAGTATAAAACTTTGGCTCATCTTCTGTAATTTTTTCATTAATTAAAAGAACTTTTATTGTTAATACACTAAATGACTATTGTTTTTGTATAAAATCTTCTATTTCCTAAGTATTATATCAATATACATTTCATCATTTTTAGATCTACATAGTTATTTGATTATTTCAAAAACATGGTTATATAAATTTAAAAAAATATATATGGAGTAAAACCTTTAGAATTAGTCACCATTATTCTCTTATTTTCAAGAACAAAAATATATATATAAATGTTAATAAATGTGAATTATTATTAAAAACTATAACTTTTATTTTAAAAAGATATCATATTTTAATAACTAAAATAAACTCAGTATTTAGTACAATGAAAATTATTGTTATTATTATTAAACTATTATTTTATTAAGATTGAAACTAGAATTTTTATCAAAATCTTAAAATTGTAAAATGATCTCTATGAGTTCATGGATTAAAACTATTTTTTTAATAAGTATTAAAAAACATTGAAACCAATGGAGTAAATTTAACCGTGTGTGGAGTGAAGTTAGTGTTTGGATGGGGTGTGACTATCACCACCCTAAAGTTTAAATAAATCTCCATGGATTGAAGTAAAAAAGTATGAAAATAAGATTCTTAAGTCTTTTAATACCAAAATAGGAGTATAATGGTAGTATTGTGTAAGAGTACGCGTTGTATCTGTGATAACAGTGTAATGTATCGATGTGATCAGTCAACCGTCGGTGACTTGCGGCGACACTCTAGTGGCCAGCAATGACAGATTGTAGTGTGGTGGTGATAGTGTGACAGTTACAATGTGACAATGTGGTGAGTATGACCGTCTGAACTCCTATTTTGATCTTGAAATACCTATGACTCCTGTTTTGATATTTTTATAGTTTTTTACTTCTATATGAGAAGTTCTCCTAAGTTTAACACAATATATGGTTGCGTTGGATTCAACTTATTTTTTTAGTTTATTATTTGTTTTTATTAAAATTGGATTAGATCAGACCAGACCAGAAATAGATTTTAATATATATACAATGAAATCAGATTATACTAGATCTTCAAAAAATTATATCAGATCAGGTGAACGAAATGCTGCCATAATCCCTCATCTCAAAAGAAATTTGATTGTGTGATAAATCCAGTACACTTATGAAAATTGGACAAGTATATCCTTAAATTAAATTTGCATGTATTCTTTCTCTTTTTAGATTTTTAGAGATAAATTCGTACAATTTGTAGCAAATGGGATGGATTTAGCCAAAATAGAGATGAATTAAGCAACACATATATTATATTACTCGCTCTCCCGAAAACACTACGACACTTCAGTATTCAAAAATAATGACAATTTTTGCTTATTTTTACTTTTTTTTGAAAATTTTTAGCTTAATTTTTTTAAAAAATTAGGTTTCAATGCCACTAGAAACAGTGCCAATTCCAGTGTCACTAGTTTTGTAGAGCACCTCCGAGACTCCGTTTGCAAAATTGATGATTCTTACCCTCTAACCCCTCATAAACCATCCACCCCAACTCACTCATGCCCCCTTCCTCCCACCACAGGCCCCTGATCTCTATCATTACATATTGCATAATGACCATACATTTAGTGGGAGGTAGGGAGCCTTGGGTGGAGGCCCGGGGATGGGTGTTTAGGTGTGTTAGAAATGTAAGAATCATCAACTGTGTAAATGGAGCATTAGAGGTGCTCCAAAAAAATAGTGACACCCCAGAGGCAGCATTGCCAATGGCAATGGAGCCAACCCGTTAAAAAAATGTAACTTGTACTCCTTGTCTCTGAGTATTAATCGAGTTTTGACTTTTTATCGCTCAAAATTAGTAAGCTTTGACCTCAAATGAAATAAAAATAAGATTGAATGCTGATACAAAAATAATTTTATTAGATTTATTTTATAAAATATGTTCAAAACATTATTTTATTTAACTAATATCCAATATATATTTTATTTAATTATAGATCAAGGTTGAAAATGGATGACTGTAAAAAATTAAAACTAGCCAAATAATCAGGGGCGGAGGTAGTATTTTTTATTTCTAAACAAATTTTTAATTAAAATAAATTGAAAAAATTTAATTATTGCTTCATTTGTTTTGTGTAATATGAAAAACATTTTGGAATAGATGAAGTATTTTAGAAAACTTTTATTTGTGTGTACATTTGTATTGATCATTTGAAGAATATAAAATATGAAAAAAATAATTTGTTGAAAAAAAAGAGTGGCAGAGGCAAAATGAGCTACATACGAACTACTTTGTGTGAACAATATCTTCATCCAACGATACATGTGTCACGTCATTTTCTTGACAGTATGTACTATTCGAATAACAAGTACATTAAAATTTTTATGTATGGCCCGTTTGGTGGTTTTGGACGTATCATAAGATATAAGTTTTGAAATCTAGAAGAAATGATGTGAATTTTGAAATTTGAAACAAAGTTGTTTAGAGAGATTCAAAATCGTGATATAATTAGTGATAGGCAGGGGTGACCAGCAATGATGGTGGGTAGCGGTGACAATGGTAGCTAGGTTGTCGGAGAATGATCAACGGTTGAGAGAGATATCAACCTCTATATTGACATCTCCCAATTTCTAGAGATATCGAAACTCTCATTTGGAGGATTTATAATATTTGAAGATATCAAACTCGAGATCTCTTTTTGCTTCACCAAACACCAAAAAAGGATTTTGATATCTGGAGAAATTAAAATTCATATTTCTTTTTCTCACTAAACACAATCTAAGTGTCCACCAAATACCAAGTATGTACCTTATTATTCTAGAGAATATATATTTACCAATCGATTCATATCCTTTATATATAAATTTGAGAGTTTGATGCATAAGAGCTTGACATGTGACACAATATGAGGTATACATGTGGCAAAATATGGGACATATTATGTGGTATTTGATTTATGACCTAGACTCCATTAAAATTATTTGGCATGTGATTAAACTTTTATTTTTTATCAAAAATAAAATAATTAAGAATAAATTTTTTAAATAAATTCTTTATATTAAATATTTAAGAATAAAAATATTCAATAAATCCTTTATATAAATTGATTGAACTTTTATGTTTAGAAAGTTCATATATGCATTATTTATGTGGTTTTTCACATCTAATATGACACATAATTTAAGACATAAAATATGAAAAACTATTTTGGTATGAAATCTTTGAATAAATTTAATTATGAAATATTTATATTCATTTTTTATAATAAAGCTTTTTCATGATTCAATATTTTTTCTTCGTTTCTAACAAAATTTTCAATTACTTAATACACTACTTTCTTCGCCTCTAAATAAATTTCACATGATTGTTTGTTTATGGCAAGTTAAAATGAAGTTAATTTTGAACATATTTCTTTCAATATTGATATGAAATAAAAAACAAACAACATATTTTAAAAATTACATTCATCATTTTTTTTAAAAAAGAGATGGTTCGATTATAATAATGTTCAAGTATAAAAAAGATTACTATACATAATTTTGTAAGTACTTATTTTAATTTTATAATGTAATTAATTAAAATAAAATTTTATTTATGTTTGTAATAGGATTAAATGAATTATATTATTTAATTTATTTGAATATAAAAAATAAAATGAAAAATAACTCTAAGTTAATACGGAGTATTCTATAAAACAAGAAGTGTCTAGATTATTTTTTAAACGATCAACTTTTTAAATCACATAAATTTAAAAAAATATTTTCATAGGCTTGAATAGTTTCTTATTCAAACATAAAGGAAAAAAGAATTGCATGAGAGTTTGCCAAATGTATATATAAATTTCCATTAAGAATCATATGATTGCTAATATTTTTTGTATTATTTTTTGTTTGAATTAATGCATTAGAGAATAATCATTGAAATTTCAATGTTTATTTAATTTTTTTAAATCATACAATGCATAGTTCAAGATTTGACAGCAAAGTGAACCGAGACAAATAATCAATAATGTTATTCAAGTTATTCAGACATTCCAAATTGTGTACCATATATACGTATGGCGCGTAAAGAACACTTGCTATTTTTGGATTAAGAATTATATTTTAAGAAATATCCCGAGATAGAAGTAAAAAATTATTAAAATACCAAAATATGTGTCTTAAGTCTTTTAATACCAAAATATTAGTATAATGACAGGGTAATGTAAGAGTATACATTGGAGTGTGATGGAAAAGTGATAACAATAAAGCATGTGCTATAAAATTGAAAATGGTGAGCGGTGAATGCTTTGAAATTTCGTTGAAGCCGTTTTTAAATTTGAATTTTAAAAATCAAAGGTAATAAAATATCAAAATATCAAAATTTAATTTAAAATGTGCACACGTAGATCTTTGTCGTAGATGCAGTTAAGCACTTTCAACTACAAAACCTTTCAAATATCACTTGTTAGTCGATGTGCCCACCCCTTAGATGGAGGGGAGGGGGGGTGAATAAGGTGTTTTAAAATTTTTCGGAGTTTATAAAATCGGTGATTAGAAAGCGTGCAAGCAATGAATAAAATGTAGAGTTTAAAATCGTAAAATAAAGACACACCGATTTATACTTGTTCGGAAACTCCCTACTCTAGTACTTTAAGGCTCATCCTTAAGGATTTCTGAATCTACTACTCTTGGCTTCTTGAACTCCGTCAAAGCACCGTACTAGTTTTTTTGGAAAACAACTCTTGTCGATAGGATTCACTCAGGGATTTCACAACGGTTATCCCAAACTACTTACAATGAAGATTTCAAGGTTAACTCCGACCTTTCCCCCAAGGATTTGAAAGGCTGTCCATGAACATTTTACCAACGAATTTCCCAGCCATCCTTATCCGCCTACACAAGGATTTATACGGCTATCCTTGACCATTAAAATGAGTAAAAATTGTGTCTAAAAACATAGAAAAATATTTAACACCTTTAGGCATATGATAAAGAATAAGATCAATCAATCTTTGGCCGGTGAAGAACAAAGAATATACTCTCTAAAAGATACAAAATCAACCTAATTAATATAATATATGTATAACCACAAGATCAATGTGTGTGTTTTAAAATCAATAGAAAGAGGCTCTTGAAATAGCCAAAATAATAAAAATTAAGAACTAGAACAAGAACAAACTTTAGAATATGAGATTAGAAGATTATAGCTTGGATTCTTATTTAAAATTAATGAGAATGATTGAGTATTTATATGATTGAATTAGGGGCCTTTAATTTGAATAATTAGATGTTAAGAGGCTCCAAATACCATAAATAAGTTGATAAAACCGCTCGAAGAATATCCAATTCAAAATATGACTGGTATGCGTTACTTTGGGCTAAAAATGTACCCAGATGGTCCAGGGGTTCGACCCTTAGAGACCCACGGTCGACCGTGCAACGGTAAACTTTAGCTACACAGCCACAGAATGATCGATCGTTTCTCCAAAACGGTTCATCTACTCGACCATCTGTAGCCGGTGCCTTTTTTACGCACGGAACCAATAATTTTAGTAAAATGGTCATAACTTCTTCAATACCTATCGAAAATAAGTGATTCAAAAACTTGCGATCTCGTATCAAAAAGATCTACTACTTTTATGTTGTAAGTTTTTCCCAATTAAAATATTATATTTTTCAAAAATATTTATTTAATTATTTTACTTAAAATAAATACTCAACGTAAAATATTTTGTACGTATGCAAGATTGAGTTTTGGAAAATCATTTTAAGCATGTTTGTGAGTGCATATCGAGTTTGTGAATATAGATATATAAAATCATATCTTTACATTTAATTCTACCTATATTTTACGCTTTCAACTTCATTTTGAGAATCAATTCTTAATGGATTTTTGTTATACCCGAAACACTCAAACAAATATTAGTTCATGTTGTTTGTTAACATCAAAACACGAGATTTAGCAAACATAAGCTAACATAAGATAACATCACAAAAATAGTAATTTACTATTAATGCAACTAAAAATAAAATTCATAATTAACATATTAATACCAAAAATTGTATTCAAGATGTCACCTTTTATTGTCAATTAAATTTCAAAAATTGATCTCTTTGATGAATGATTTTAACTTCAAACACGCGCAATAATACCGCCTACATAATTGAAATAAATATAGCACTAATTTTATTTATAACTTTATTAGCACAAAACAATCTGAGACACAATTCAAAAAAAATAAAAGAAACAAAGCACAACAAATTGATCAAAGGATTTACTATAAAAACAATTGAACAACGAATTTAAAAGGACAACGAGATGAATACTGGAACAAAGTTGAATAGAGGATTTCTGTATACATACAAATTACAAAGCAATATTAAAATAAAGTAATGTTAAAGTTTGGAAAAGTAAAACAATTAATATAGACCTCGAATCGCATAGGGAGAGTTGCTCTATCCCGAGATGGGTTCCGATTTATGTCTCTCTAGGCAGCTCCACAACTCAAATTTACTTCCGATGATTGCTCTCTTGGCGAGAAAAAGGGTGGCAACAGATTTGAGGAAGGATTGAGAGAGCTAGGGCTGAAATTTGAAAACTAATGCGTTGGGGTCTAGCGTCTGGAGAAGGAGAACGAAGACTATAATTGGGTATATGGGTAACATGCATAAAAAGACATCAATTTGTAAAAAGAATTTAGTTGATTCAATTGACTTCACTTAACTCTTAGTTGATCCGCCCTTGGGAGGAGTTGAGAAGAAAAAAATATTTATTCAAAGAGAGTGGTGAGAAATTTTTTTTCCTCACTGCTACCAGTGTTCTTAAGAAAATCAGTTGAATGTCACATCAATGCTCACCCAGTCGTACAAATTAAAGATATGTATCATTGTTTCATAAACCTTAAAATTGGATACCAAATTATTGTGAAATGAGTGCGTGAACCTAGACTCTGCTATGTCGCCTAGTGATGCATTTTTCTAGACACGTGCATTTCACACCGATGAAGCCCAACCAATTAGAGATTTTAGTACTCTACTCATGCACTCATGAATTAAGTCTTCCCCATTATAATGTAATCAATTCAGTAATACAGAGTGGTCATTTAATAGCATCTCCCTGTCATGTCGAAAGAAACACAATATATATTATACAACTGATTGTACAATATTTTCCATATATTTGTGATGAATACTAATTTACGAGCAACTAAATACTAATCTTGCACGTAAAGGGATGCTGATTTAGAATGTATGCCCGATGTGCATATCCTCCGAGGAGACAGTGTTGCATCTATTTGTTTCTTGCAGCTATGCACGGCAGGTGTGGACAACCTCTGTCCTGGGCTAGTACACGCCCCATGTCAACGGGTTCATCGCTTGGCTAGAGAAGATCTTCAACCTCTTCAACCAGACAGATCAGGCATTGGTGTTTCATGTCTTGTGCTCAATATAGAGGACCCGAAATGATAGAGTTTGGCATGGTAGAAACTCGACCCCAATAGGTACGTGGTTAAAAGCTAAGGCTCGTTTTGAGGAGTGGTAGTCGTCAGCTAACCCCACACTAGGAACGCCAGATGGGGTCAGGAAGTTCATGGTCAAGACCACGTGATGGATTTGTGAAGGTTAATATTGATGCATCCACAAGCTTAGTTGATGATACGATGGGAGTCGGTTTCATTGCTCGCAATGACCTTGAAGCATTTTTGGCAGCTGAGAACATACCTTTCAAGGGCAGCTACGGTCCCAGGGAGGAATATATCTTTCAAGAATATATCAAAAATGAGTATTCTATACTTGAAAAATGAGTATTTAGTAATTTAAAAATGAGTATTTACGTGAATGTACGCGAAACATCACACATCCGGATGTATGACATAGGTACTCGTCGGATAATATCCTTTGAAGCCCTGGTTCAATCATCTGTGATGATGAATAATGTATCTTTACAGTTTTGCTTGGAGTTCTACGACATTTTAGATTTTAATCTTGGAACTTTAGTTTAATTGGGTTCAATCCATTCGGTCTGGACCAGTTTAGTCTTTAAGATTTCGATCCAATCGGTCCAAAATCAAATATGTTTAGATTTGGTCTCTGGTCTTGGTTTTAATCTATTTCGGTCTTCACCTGATTTGGTCTGGTTCGATATAGTTTTAGACCGATAAACACCCATAATACATACACACATACACACACACACACACTTACATACATACATACATACATACATACATACATACATACATACTATACATACATACATACATACACCCACACACACATCAAATTGATAACACCACCGTGTTCCCCACATTCAGAGCAACAGAATAGAAGGAAAAATTGTGAAGAATGGTGAAGTATTGAAGGAGTTGGGTACTCCTTAGTTCTAATATAGGAATGGTGAGGGGAAGAAGCCAATTTTACATTGCTTCCTTTCCATGTTCGATCGGCTGAGTGGAGTGAGCGGCGCCATTTGAAGATTTACACGTCTTCCCCTATTTAGGACTAATTTGGTTCTAATCGAATTATACTTTTTTGTCCAACTTTCTCCGAATTAAGATCGGATTACTCTTAATTAAAAGTGATTGATTATTAATTTGGGAAAACTGAGAAATTTTTTTGGAAATTTACTTTTTTTTTAAATTTAACCAAATACTCCGTAGAATACTCCGTAATTCTTTTTGGGGGGATAGGAGCCGCAGGTAGAAGTAGAAAAAGATTTCCCAGCCACACTCATCCATCGCCGTCACCGTCGCCAGAGTCAGCAGCAGCCAGCAGCCATCGCCGTATCCGTTGCTCTCCCCAGATCCTGCGCCGTTGTCTTCACGCCGTACCGCCGTCCTACCGACGCCGTCCCAGGCGTTCGCCATCCCAGTCCTGCAGCCTGTTCCACCCGCCGTCACTTTCCCCCCACGAATTTCCAGTCTTGGGTAATTATTTTTTGCTTGAATTATGTTATGTGTTTCACACTAGTTTTTTCTTTTGTTCGAAGTATTGCGTAAAGGCTAAAGGGTAGTTTTATTTAGCTTAAATTTCAGTTAAAAAACTTGTCCCAGGCGGCTTGTGCTCTTCTCTCTCATCGGAATCGGTCGCAGCAATTCCTGCACAGAAAAGCATCAAGAAGAAGCAAACGGCTTAGCAGCTGTGAAGCCAGAGCATCTGCAGGAGGGCTTGCAAAGGGTAAAACCCCCATTTAGGAATTCTTTCTTCTTTCCTGTCTATTTTATTGTTTTTACAGTACTTTGTGTTGAATTAGAGTATTGAACTTAAGTTTTTAAAGCCAATAGAATAGAGTTGTGGAAAGACACGGGTTGGCAAGGGAAAGATCCATCTACCGGCTTTAGGATTACCAGATTTTAGAAACTCAAATGCTCTTGAGAGCAATTGTGGAAAAGGGAAAGACATGGATTGGCAAGGGAAAGTTCCATCTACCGTCTTTTCAGAATTTAGAAACTCAAATGCTTTTGAGAGCAATTGTGGAAAACAAAAAGGAATCTTTACCAGTTTACCTTTGTGTAAACCAAAGACTTGAAGGTATTATTTTCCAAATACGAAAATGAAACTCAAACAACTTTAAACTCTCTTAAATTCTGTTGGATCAATTGAGAGAGCAGAAAAGTTGTGGTGTGAAGGCTGAGATCTTTAAAATGCACAATCAAACATAGGATGAAACCTACACATAAAAAGTTGAATTTGGAAAACACAATGCAAATGATGAAAAATGTCTTAAAAACATTTTAAGTGGGAAGTTCAGTTTTGCAATTCCGTTTCTAGTTGACCAATATTTTTTTCCAGGATTTGTGCTATATGTACTTCAAATGCTATCTAATGTAATTATAATCCATCACTAATTCAAGACAGATAGATGACTCATGAACCCGATAAGTGTCTTGTAGTCTTCTTGTGTCTAGTTTTAAATAAAGAACTGTTTCATAGTTCTTAAATAGTAAGTGTTGCTTTTGTGCATAACTATTTGCCATCAATTCTTTATTGTTAATTGTTCAGGGGGGCTAACTTGGTTTGTTTCAATAATAAAGTCTTTGTGCAGTTTTAAAGACAAGGCAGCATTACCTAAAAGCAAAACAAAGGATGTGGAATGCTTTTGGACATTTACAGCCATTATGCTTTGGCTTGTGAGTTGTGAAAAGCTTTAACCGGAAACATGCCCTCTACTTTTCCCTGGGATATTCTCTTTTTGCTTTCCTAATATAAAGAAAGGTACGCAATTTTACTTGATCCTATATTGGGAACAATGCTCTACATTTAATTCCATTGAGTAGAAAAGGGATCTCATATTCGGCATGTGATTGCCATTTTTTTTATGTTTTCAATGATTTGACTCATATCCAACAAAACTAGATGATTGATATGCAACATTGATATAAAAAATTTGTCAATGGAAACTAACTTTATGTTTTGAATGAATTATCTGGAAGTGTGTAATACTTGTATTAGGCATGTTCTAAAGTATTTTAATTGATACCCAATAGGATTCTTTATGCATAGCTTTCAATATGTTCTTAATGATGTGTCATCAAGTTTATCAGTTTTTGTGACAAAATTGCCTTGTTTGTAAATGGACACACAACTTTTACAATACATTTTCTTCACGTGATTTTGTTTACCACAGTGAGGTGTCTTGACGAAACACAGTAGTACGATATGATTGCCTTCAGAAAACTATTTTTTGAGTAACTGTAGTTTGAAATAGATCATCAAAGTACTATTAAATGCAGTAGTTTTAAATTAGTTTACACTAGTTTGGATAAAAATAGTAGTGTGTACAATTGCTTTCAGACAATTGTTCCTTTAGAAATAGTAGTCTTATTTAGATTGTCAAAAACTGTTGTCTTAACTTAATTTACACCATTGTATCTAAAAATAATAGTGAGTATGATTTTCCCAGATAACTTTTTTTCAAGAACAAAAGTCTAAAATACCATGTCAAACCACTATTTTGAAAGAGTAGCCATAACTTAGTATAGACAACCGTGGCAACAAAAACAATATTTTGATATAACACAGACTCTTCCATAGTCACCTAAATCGCGGTACGTTTCAGAACGGGTATGAAATTCTCTAGAGGTGACGAATTCAGTACGCAAGCGGGGGGTAGGTTCATTTCGGTACAAAGCGGTACGGTGTACCATGTATTCGGTTCGGTGTACCAAAAGTCAAAACATAAGTAAACAAAAATAGATAAGGTGAGCATAAGTGCAACATTACAAAATCCAATATAAAAACAAGTGTGTGTGTGTTCAATAGCTTCAAAAACAAGAATAACGTTTCTGATTGTTCAACAGCGTCAACTTCATTATCAACATCAACATAAATGTTTGGGTTGCTAATATGGGTCCCACTATCATCTTGAGTATTATGGGATTTGTTATTTTTTCCAAAAGCCATTGAAAAAACAACAACAACAACAACAACCCAGTTAAATCCCACAAGAGTAGGGTCTGGGGAGGGTGTGTGTACGCAGACCTTGCCCCTACTCGAAAGTAGAGAGGCTGTTTCCAAAGAGACCCCCGGCTCAACGTCGAAAGTTGCATTGCTTGACTAACTGCTACTTCATTAATTAAAGAAGCGCAAACAGTTTAGAGATCCATTTTGATTTATTCCATCACACCCCAAAGCCAAAAAATGGTGAAATTTTGGCTCCATCGGGATGATGGAAAAGGACTACTGCTTACCAACGTGCTTTAAAAGAGTTTTAATTTGAGAGGAATGTTGACTTTTAAATCCGTAGTCATTTTTTGGGACAATAAAATGTTTTTGAAAGAAGACTTCTTAGGGACAGAATGAGTGGGAATTTATGTCATACAAAGCTCTAAAAGAAGGGAAGGGAACATGAGTCCACTTCTCACGAGGTAAGTAGAATCGGATACGAACTCACTTAAATAAAAAAAAACTACTCCCTCGGTCCCCAAATTAGATTCTCATCTATTTTTAGTATAACTATTAAGAACGTGAAAATGTGGTTGAAATTCATTTAAAAAACAAGGGAAACCGAACCGCAAAACTCTTTCCTTACAAAAATAGTTTTGAAATGGACAGAAAAAGGAAAGTAATAGGCTAATTAAAAATCTTCAATTATTAAAGAAGACACCTGAAAGTATGATTGAGAGCGAAAAATTGAAAGTAGAGGAATAGAGGTTGGGTTGTGGATGGTGAGTGTGCAGTGCTTTGTGTGTGTGTGTATATATATATATTCGTATAATATTTAATTGTAAATTGAATTTTGAAATAAATATTTTAAATAAGACATTGGAAAGTGAAATTCTCAATACGTGTGTGGGAAGTGGGAACTACTCAATTTATGTACGTCTGGGAACAAGAAAGTCGCCAATTGAAATTTAACCCCAGAGAACTTGTGATTCCTCATTCTACTCCATCCCATCTAATGAATTCCACGAGATAAATTTGATCCTTTGCTCCACCAAAATTTTTCCATTATTCTTTTCAAATTATCACACGTCTTTCAACGTAAACTTAGGGACATCACATAAGAGGGGATTGAAAACCGACTTCAAAAGATTTTTCTTACCTGCTTGGGAGAGAGGTTAATTATTATTACTATTATTATTGTTGTTGTTGTTATTGTTGTTGTTATTATTATTATTATTATTATTATTATTATTATTATTATGAAAAAGTTATAGTTACACTTGTTTCAAGTGTCATAGTATGACACAAGTCAAATTGAAGCTTCTACAGTGCTTCCCTTAACCCTCCGGTAAACCCCACCCCAGTTCGACCCGAACCCACCCTGTCAATTGTGCCCCCAATTTTATCTTGCAATGAGTGGGAATCTTTGGGCAGTAGGTAATGCTAATATTGTTTCATAGCCCATCCAAAAATAGTTTCCGATTTTATATTTTCATTGATTTATTTTTCTCAAGTCTCAATTCTTAGTCGCAAGCGATTTGTTCTTCGCCAGCTTGATTCGTCGTAATTCGGAACAGTGACTCTGTTAGCCATGTGTCACTGCCTAGGTTTCTTTATTTGGTCACTCACAGATGCAAATGGCCGTTTAATTTCGCAATTTGTCTTACCTTACTCTCCTTATTTGCCCAATTGGAGTAATTACTGAGAACCTGTATTGAGTTCTGAATCTTGACCTTAAAAAAGATTTCTTTGTTTTTAAAGTTGGAGCATGCTCATAATTTTGCGTGTATAGGGAGGCTAAAGCTAGGAGGCAAGGGCCGGTGTTGGCGGGGATGAATAGTGTTTTCAGTGAAGTGATACTTGCAGACAAGCTCTCCAAGCTCAACAGCAGTCAGCAGTGCATTGAAAGTAAGTTTCTAATCTTTTCATTTTCGTGATGTTTGGCTCATGCTGCATTCATTGCAGCTCCTTTAACATGGTTTCATTTCCCTTTTTCTGTTAATTCGCTACTTTGAGTGGCAACTTGAATTCCCATGTAGTGGAATAATGCATTAGGATTTTTATTCCATGAGCCAGTGACTCTAGTTTGTTCTCCTTGATTACAGCAATTAATTAAAAAAACTCAAGTTACCATGTTTAATCAGTGTCTATGCTTATAATAAGCTTAAGGGGGTGTATTCAATATAGATTCTGTAGGATTGTTTTTGTATTCTAAGAGTCTATGGATATTCAATTATGATTTTTTAAAAGTCATTTAAACTCTTAGGATATTCAATTAAGATTCTAAAATGTCCTTCTAAATTTGATAGCATTGAAAATTCTATGGATTTAATAAGATTTCTATTAATGATGAATTGTGATGGATTTTAGGTGTGTAGTATAAATAGAAATCCATAATACAAATCTCTCTACTAAAGATTTCGAGTCAAGGGTTGAATCTGAAAAGGAGAAGCACAATGGTGGGAGACCTTTGAGTCTAGGGTTATTTCTTGAAACTAGCTGCTAGACTGAGCTAAATAGGGGGTGCGAACGGGATGACTTGAGTTGGGGAAAGCTACTTCACTTCTGCGATTCATGCCAACATCTTCTTCGATTTTGCTATCTAAGGCAGAATGAAGGACGGAGAATATGTTTTGGAGAAGCAATATTGAACATTAGATGCAGGCCAATCCGCTAGGAGAAGAGATTGGGAGAATGACACGTATGAAATCTAAACAATCGAAGAAGAAGAAGAATGGACGTAGGGATAAAAAGATTTGATTTTTATTCTGAACGGTTGTTAGTTCATCAGTAATCAATTTTGAAATTTTAAAAGACTTGAATCTTGGTGGCGGCGACTCAGTGTCGGCGGTGTGATAGCTGAGCCGACAGAGAAAAGAAAGGAGGAAAAGAGAGACAGCGGCTAGGGTTCCTGCGGTGGAAGAAGGAAAATAAAGAAAAAAGGAAAACATAATCCATGGATTATAAACAATTTTCCTCAATCCTATAAAATCCTGCTGAAAAAATACATTAAGATCTATTTAACTCTGCGGAGACTTAAAGTAATCCATTGAATTCACAGAAGCCATGGATTCTAAACAATCTATCAGAATCTTTTAGAATCTAGATAGAATACACCCCCCTTAGATCATATTTACTGATTACCCACTTTGGCACATCCTTTTGTCTCGTTTTATTCTCCAATAAACACATATCGTGTGTGATTTATATCGAAATGTTCCATTCCTTTATTTCTATTAGCGTTTATTTATTATGACAATTCTGCTATGAAAGTTTAATTTTTTTGGCCTTTTTAACTCATATATTCCGTTACCTTGTCAGGTTCATGCACCTATTTGCATGAGCATCCAATCTTTGCTTTACCTTTGTAGCCTAAGATATGAAGTAATGCCAATCAATTCTTATCATAATTGTAGTAAGAATATGATAATTCATTGTATCTGGTGCTCTTGGAAATTCGTTGATCATGGCATGTCTGGGCTGCTCTAAGCCCCAATTTTGTTCATTTATTTGATACTTTTTCCTATGTTCGTTTTAGTGTGGTGATGTTTAACTAAATGGTCTCCAAGGTGATATCTTCTTGTCCAGTTGTACATGAGTATAATATTGGGTTGCATAATCAAAAACCTGTGTTCTAAAAAGCTAGGTAGCTTCGTGGTGGTAGACTGGGGCTTAACCCCTAGACAGGCTTAGTTGGGCCCTAGGCTGAGCAGGAATAAATGAAAAAGGTAGGTAGGCAGCCGGTCATGGGAGACCAATCACCTAAGTGGGGCCTAGATGGAGATTTTTAGAATATTGATTCAAAATCCGACAGGCGGTAGATTTGCATAACATATTTTGTTTTTATTGAAATGTTTATTTTTTTACAGTAGATATGATACACAATAGGGCGCAATCTCACAGTAGATATGATACACGATAGGGCGCAATGGCGTCGTTTGATCCATGTAGCCAACCCCACATAGTGGGGTAAGGCTTTGTTATTGTTTTTGTTTATTTTTTTACAAGAAGTTGCAACACGTACATTTATAAGATAACCAAGAAAAAAGAAGGGCTACAGGTTATACTATTACAATTTTTTGGACAAGTTTATTGAGATATAAAGCTTGTTTAGTCTCTCACTTTTACTCAGTTGAATATATTTCTAGGGTCTTATAATTTTAAAAGGTCTTGGTTTGGTCTAATAAATTCATTTCATAATTACATAGTACAGACAATCATCACTGTTTTTTACTTTTTTTATATGAATACTTCGGTATGAAGTTCAGGTTTATAAGTACATATAATGGACTTCTCTTTTGCATGAGTGCATAATTTGCTGAGTGATAAGGTTTACATCATGAAGTTTCAACTAGATTTTGCTTTCATGCGCATAATTTCTAAAGCTTGTAAGGGGTTTGTTATACCCCTGGATGGCTCCACCAAAACCTCAAACCATCCCTAAACATCCAAAATGCCTTTTCTTTTATTTCCTTTCAAATAAAGTCTTCCTCCACTTATTTTAAGTCCCTTGACCGAAAATAAGAAGACCACTTTTATTTTTTTTAAAGCCTTAAATAATCAAATAACACACTTCCCTTCTTGTTCCTACATAGGGATGAAATTCCAGCCCCATTTTGGTTCCTAAAATCCAACCAAAATTACCATTTACCACAAATTAAAAAATCAGCAAAAAGNAACATTCGGTAAGACGCTTTGTGAAGATATATTGAGAAAAAAAATGGCATGGAACTGATCCAGCACCAAATATCTCACAGAACCCCTTACAAGCTTTAGAAATTATGCGCATGAAAGCAAAATCTAGTTGAAACTTCATGATGTAAACCTTATCACTCAGCAAATTATGCACTCATGCAAAAGAGAAGTCCATTATATGTACTTATAAACCTGAACTTCATACCGAAGTATTCATATAAAAAAAGTAAAAAACAGTGATGATTGTCTGTACTATGTAATTATGAAATGAATTTATTAGACCAAACCAAGACCTTTTAAAATTATAAGACCCTAGAAATATATTCAACTGAGTAAAAGTGAGAGACTAAACAAGCTTTATATCTCAATAAACTTGTCCAAAAAATTGTAATAGTATAACCTGTAGCCCTTCTTTTTTCTTGGTTATCTTATAAATGTACGTGTTGCAACTTCTTGTAAAAAAATAAACAAAAACAATAACAAAGCCTTACCCCACTATGTGGGGTTGGCTACATGGATCAAACGACGCCATTGCGCCCTATCGTGTATCATATCTACTGTGAGATTGCGCCCTATTGTGTATCATATCTACTGTAAAAAAATAAACATTTCAATAAAAACAAAATATGTTATGCAAATCTACCGCCTGTCGGATTTTGAATCAATATTCTAAAAATCTCCATCTAGGCCCCACTTAGGTGATTGGTCTCCCATGACCGGCTGCCTACCTACCTTTTTCATTTATTCCTGCTCAGCCTAGGGCCCAACTAAGCCTGTCTAGGGGTTAAGCCCCAGTCTACCACCACGAAGCTACCTAGCTTTTTAGAACACAGGTTTTTGATTATGCAACCCAATATTATACTCATGTACAACTGGACAAGAAGATATCACCTTGGAGACCATTTAGTTAAACATCACCACACTAAAACGAACATAGGAAAAAGTATCAAATAAATGAACAAAATTGGGGCTTAGAGCAGCCCAGACATGCCATGATCAACGAATTTCCAAGAGCACCAGATACAATGAATTATCATATTCTTACTACAATTATGATAAGAATTGATTGGCATTACTTCATATCTTAGGCTACAAAGGTAAAGCAAAGATTGGATGCTCATGCAAATAGGTGCATGAACCTGACAAGGTAACGGAATATATGAGTTAAAAAGGCCAAAAAAATTAAACTTTCATAGCAGAATTGTCATAATAAATAAACGCTAATAGAAATAAAGGAATGGAACATTTCGATATAAATCACACACGATATGTGTTTATTGGAGAATAAAACGAGACAAAAGGATGTGCCAAAGTGGGTAATCAGTAAATATGATCTAAGGGGGGTGTATTCTATCTAGATTCTAAAAGATTCTGATAGATTGTTTAGAATCCATGGCTTCTGTGAATTCAATGGATTACTTTAAGTCTCCGCAGAGTTAAATAGATCTTAATGTATTTTTTCAGCAGGATTTTATAGGATTGAGGAAAATTGTTTATAATCCATGGATTATGTTTTCCTTTTTTCTTTATTTTCCTTCTTCCACCGCAGGAACCCTAGCCGCTGTCTCTCTTTTCCTCCTTTCTTTTCTCTGTCGGCTCAGCTATCACACCGCCGACACTGAGTCGCCGCCACCAAGATTCAAGTCTTTTAAAATTTCAAAATTGATTACTGATGAACTAACAACCGTTCAGAATAAAAATCAAATCTTTTTATCCCTACGTCCATTCTTCTTCTTCTTCGATTGTTTAGATTTCATACGTGTCATTCTCCCAATCTCTTCTCCTAGCGGATTGGCCTGCATCTAATGTTCAATATTGCTTCTCCAAAACATATTCTCCGTCCTTCATTCTGCCTTAGATAGCAAAATCGAAGAAGATGTTGGCATGAATCGCAGAAGTGAAGTAGCTTTCCCCAACTCAAGTCATCCCGTTCGCACCCCCTATTTAGCTCAGTCTAGCAGCTAGTTTCAAGAAATAACCCTAGACTCAAAGGTCTCCCACCATTGTGCTTCTCCTTTTCAGATTCAACCCTTGACTCGAAATCTTTAGTAGAGAGATTTGTATTATGGATTTCTATTTATACTACACACCTAAAATCCATCACAATTCATCATTAATAGAAATCTTATTAAATCCATAGAATTTTCAATGCTATCAAATTTAGAAGGACATTTTAGAATCTTAATTGAATATCCTAAGAGTTTAAATGACTTTTAAAAAATCATAATTGAATATCCATAGACTCTTAGAATACAAAAACAATCCTACAGAATCTATATTGAATACACCCCCTTAAGCTTATTATAAGCATAGACACTGATTAAACATGGTAACTTGAGTTTTTTTAATTAATTGCTGTAATCAAGGAGAACAAACTAGAGTCACTGGCTCATGGAATAAAAATCCTAATGCATTATTCCACTACATGGGAATTCAAGTTGCCACTCAAAGTAGCGAATTAACAGAAAAAGGGAAATGAAACCATGTTAAAGGAGCTGCAATGAATGCAGCATGAGCCAAACATCACGAAAATGAAAAGATTAGAAACTTACTTTCAATGCACTGCTGACTGCTGTTGAGCTTGGAGAGCTTGTCTGCAAGTATCACTTCACTGAAAACACTATTCATCCCCGCCAACACCGGCCCTTGCCTCCTAGCTTTAGCCTCCCTATACACGCAAAATTATGAGCATGCTCCAACTTTAAAAACAAAGAAATCTTTTTTAAGGTCAAGATTCAGAACTCAATACAGGTTCTCAGTAATTACTCCAATTGGGCAAATAAGGAGAGTAAGGTAAGACAAATTGCGAAATTAAACGGCCATTTGCATCTGTGAGTGACCAAATAAAGAAACCTAGGCAGTGACACATGGCTAACAGAGTCACTGTTCCGAATTACGACGAATCAAGCTGGCGAAGAACAAATCGCTTGCGACTAAGAATTGAGACTTGAGAAAAATAAATCAATGAAAATATAAAATCGGAAACTATTTTTGGATGGGCTATGAAACAATATTAGCATTACCTACTGCCCAAAGATTCCCACTCATTGCAAGATAAAATTGGGGGCACAATTGACAGGGTGGGTTCGGGTCGAACTGGGGTGGGGTTTACCGGAGGGTTAAGGGAAGCACTGTAGAAGCTTCAATTTGACTTGTGTCATACTATGACACTTGAAACAAGTGTAACTATAACTTTTTCATAATAATAATAATAATAATAATAATAATAATAATAATAACAACAACAATAACAACAACAACAATAATAATAGTAATAATAATTAACCTCTCTCCCAAGCAGGTAAGAAAAATCTTTTGAAGTCGGTTTTCAATCCCCTCTTATGTGATGTCCCTAAGTTTACGTTGAAAGACGTGTGATAATTTGAAAAGAATAATGGAAAAATTTTGGTGGAGCAAAGGATCAAATTTATCTCGTGGAATTCATTAGATGGGATGGAGTAGAATGAGGAATCACAAGTTCTCTGGGGTTAAATTTCAATTGGCGACTTTCTTGTTCCCAGACGTACATAAATTGAGTAGTTCCCACTTCCCACACACGTATTGAGAATTTCACTTTCCAATGTCTTATTTAAAATATTTATTTCAAAATTCAATTTACAATTAAATATTATACGAATATATATATATACACACACACACAAAGCACTGCACACTCACCATCCACAACCCAACCTCTATTCCTCTACTTTCAATTTTTCGCTCTCAATCATACTTTCAGGTGTCTTCTTTAATAATTGAAGATTTTTAATTAGCCTATTACTTTCCTTTTTCTGTCCATTTCAAAACTATTTTTGTAAGGAAAGAGTTTTGCGGTTCGGTTTCCCTTGTTTTTTAAATGAATTTCAACCACATTTTCACGTTCTTAATAGTTATACTAAAAATAGATGAGAATCTAATTTGGGGACCGAGGGAGTAGTTTTTTTTTATTTAAGTGAGTTCGTATCCGATTCTACTTACCTCGTGAGAAGTGGACTCATGTTCCCTTCCCTTCTTTTAGAGCTTTGTATGACATAAATTCCCACTCATTCTGTCCCTAAGAAGTCTTCTTTCAAAAACATTTTATTGTCCCAAAAAATGACTACGGATTTAAAAGTCAACATTCCTCTCAAATTAAAACTCTTTTAAAGCACGTTGGTAAGCAGTAGTCCTTTTCCATCATCCCGATGGAGCCAAAATTTCACCATTTTTTGGCTTTGGGGTGTGATGGAATAAATCAAAATGGATCTCTAAACTGTTTGCGCTTCTTTAATTAATGAAGTAGCAGTTAGTCAAGCAATGCAACTTTCGACGTTGAGCCGGGGGTCTCTTTGGAAACAGCCTCTCTACTTTCGAGTAGGGGCAAGGTCTGCGTACACACACCCTCCCCAGACCCTACTCTTGTGGGATTTAACTGGGTTGTTGTTGTTGTTGTTGTTTTTTCAATGGCTTTTGGAAAAAATAACAAATCCCATAATACTCAAGATGATAGTGGGACCCATATTAGCAACCCAAACATTTATGTTGATGTTGATAATGAAGTTGACGCTGTTGAACAATCAGAAACGTTATTCTTGTTTTTGAAGCTATTGAACACACACACACTTGTTTTTATATTGGATTTTGTAATGTTGCACTTATGCTCACCTTATCTATTTTTGTTTACTTATGTTTTGACTTTTGGTACACCGAACCGAATACATGGTACACCGTACCGCTTTGTACCGAAATGAACCTACCCCCCGCTTGCGTACTGAATTCGTCACCTCTAGAGAATTTCATACCCGTTCTGAAACGTACCGCGATTTAGGTGACTATGGAAGAGTCTGTGTTATATCAAAATATTGTTTTTGTTGCCACGGTTGTCTATACTAAGTTATGGCTACTCTTTCAAAATAGTGGTTTGACATGGTATTTTAGACTTTTGTTCTTGAAAAAAAGTTATCTGGGAAAATCATACTCACTATTATTTTTAGATACAATGGTGTAAATTAAGTTAAGACAACAGTTTTTGACAATCTAAATAAGACTACTATTTCTAAAGGAACAATTGTCTGAAAGCAATTGTACACACTACTATTTTTATCCAAACTAGTGTAAACTAATTTAAAACTACTGCATTTAATAGTACTTTGATGATCTATTTCAAACTACAGTTACTCAAAAAATAGTTTTCTGAAGGCAATCATATCGTACTACTGTGTTTCGTCAAGACACCTCACTGTGGTAAACAAAATCACGTGAAGAAAATGTATTGTAAAAGTTGTGTGTCCATTTACAAACAAGGCAATTTTGTCACAAAAACTGATAAACTTGATGACACATCATTAAGAACATATTGAAAGCTATGCATAAAGAATCCTATTGGGTATCAATTAAAATACTTTAGAACATGCCTAATACAAGTATTACACACTTCCAGATAATTCATTCAAAACATAAAGTTAGTTTCCATTGACAAATTTTTTATATCAATGTTGCATATCAATCATCTAGTTTTGTTGGATATGAGTCAAATCATTGAAAACATAAAAAAAATGGCAATCACATGCCGAATATGAGATCCCTTTTCTACTCAATGGAATTAAATGTAGAGCATTGTTCCCAATATAGGATCAAGTAAAATTGCGTACCTTTCTTTATATTAGGAAAGCAAAAAGAGAATATCCCAGGGAAAAGTAGAGGGCATGTTTCCGGTTAAAGCTTTTCACAACTCACAAGCCAAAGCATAATGGCTGTAAATGTCCAAAAGCATTCCACATCCTTTGTTTTGCTTTTAGGTAATGCTGCCTTGTCTTTAAAACTGCACAAAGACTTTATTATTGAAACAAACCAAGTTAGCCCCCCTGAACAATTAACAATAAAGAATTGATGGCAAATAGTTATGCACAAAAGCAACACTTACTATTTAAGAACTATGAAACAGTTCTTTATTTAAAACTAGACACAAGAAGACTACAAGACACTTATCGGGTTCATGAGTCATCTATCTGTCTTGAATTAGTGATGGATTATAATTACATTAGATAGCATTTGAAGTACATATAGCACAAATCCTGGAAAAAAATATTGGTCAACTAGAAACGGAATTGCAAAACTGAACTTCCCACTTAAAATGTTTTTAAGACATTTTTCATCATTTGCATTGTGTTTTCCAAATTCAACTTTTTATGTGTAGGTTTCATCCTATGTTTGATTGTGCATTTTAAAGATCTCAGCCTTCACACCACAACTTTTCTGCTCTCTCAATTGATCCAACAGAATTTAAGAGAGTTTAAAGTTGTTTGAGTTTCATTTTCGTATTTGGAAAATAATACCTTCAAGTCTTTGGTTTACACAAAGGTAAACTGGTAAAGATTCCTTTTTGTTTTCCACAATTGCTCTCAAAAGCATTTGAGTTTCTAAATTCTGAAAAGACGGTAGATGGAACTTTCCCTTGCCAATCCATGTCTTTCCCTTTTCCACAATTGCTCTCAAGAGCATTTGAGTTTCTAAAATCTGGTAATCCTAAAGCCGGTAGATGGATCTTTCCCTTGCCAACCCGTGTCTTTCCACAACTCTATTCTATTGGCTTTAAAAACTTAAGTTCAATACTCTAATTCAACACAAAGTACTGTAAAAACAATAAAATAGACAGGAAAGAAGAAAGAATTCCTAAATGGGGGTTTTACCCTTTGCAAGCCCTCCTGCAGATGCTCTGGCTTCACAGCTGCTAAGCCGTTTGCTTCTTCTTGATGCTTTTCTGTGCAGGAATTGCTGCGACCGATTCCGATGAGAGAGAAGAGCACAAGCCGCCTGGGACAAGTTTTTTAACTGAAATTTAAGCTAAATAAAACTACCCTTTAGCCTTTACGCAATACTTCGAACAAAAGAAAAAACTAGTGTGAAACACATAACATAATTCAAGCAAAAAATAATTACCCAAGACTGGAAATTCGTGGGGGGAAAGTGACGGCGGGTGGAACAGGCTGCAGGACTGGGATGGCGAACGCCTGGGACGGCGTCGGTAGGACGGCGGTACGGCGTGAAGACAACGGCGCAGGATCTGGGGAGAGCAACGGATACGGCGATGGCTGCTGGCTGCTGCTGACTCTGGCGACGGTGACGGCGATGGATGAGTGTGGCTGGGAAATCTTTTTCTACTTCTACCTGCGGCTCCTATCCCCCCAAAAAGAATTACGGAGTATTCTACGGAGTATTTGGTTAAATTTAAAAAAAAAGTAAATTTCCAAAAAAATTTCTCAGTTTTCCCAAATTAATAATCAATCACTTTTAATTAAGAGTAATCCGATCTTAATTCGGAGAAAGTTGGACAAAAAAGTATAATTCGATTAGAACCAAATTAGTCCTAAATAGGGGAAGACGTGTAAATCTTCAAATGGCGCCGCTCACTCCACTCAGCCGATCGAACATGGAAAGGAAGCAATGTAAAATTGGCTTCTTCCCCTCACCATTCCTATATTAGAACTAAGGAGTACCCAACTCCTTCAATACTTCACCATTCTTCACAATTTTTCCTTCTATTCTGTTGCTCTGAATGTGGGGAACACGGTGGTGTTATCAATTTGATGTGTGTGTGGGTGTATGTATGTATGTATGTATAGTATGTATGTATGTATGTATGTATGTATGTATGTATGTATGTAAGTGTGTGTGTGTGTGTATGTGTGTATGTATTATGGGTGTTTATCGGTCTAAAACTATATCGAACCAGACCAAATCAGGTGAAGACCGAAATAGATTAAAACCAAGACCAGAGACCAAATCTAAACATATTTGATTTTGGACCGATTGGATCGAAATCTTAAAGACTAAACTGGTCCAGACCGAATGGATTGAACCCAATTAAACTAAAGTTCCAAGATTAAAATCTAAAATGTCGTAGAACTCCAAGCAAAACTGTAAAGATACATTATTCATCATCACAGATGATTGAACCAGGGCTTCAAAGGATATTATCCGACGAGTACCTATGTCATACATCCGGATGTGTGATGTTTCGCGTACATTCACGTAAATACTCATTTTTAAATTACTAAATACTCATTTTTCAAGTATAGAATACTCATTTTTGATATATTCTTGAAAGATATATTCCTCCCTGGGACCGTAGCTGCCCTTGAAAGGTATGTTCTCAGCTGCCAAAAATGCTTCAAGGTCATTGCGAGCAATGAAACCGACTCCCATCGTATCATCAACTAAGCTTGTGGATGCATCAATATTAACCTTCACAAATCCATCACGTGGTCTTGACCATGAACTTCCTGACCCCATCTGGCGTTCCTAGTGTGGGGTTAGCTGACGACTACCACTCCTCAAAACGAGCCTTAGCTTTTAACCACGTACCTATTGGGGTCGAGTTTCTACCATGCCAAACTCTATCATTTCGGGTCCTCTATATTGAGCACAAGACATGAAACACCAATGCCTGATCTGTCTGGTTGAAGAGGTTGAAGATCTTCTCTAGCCAAGCGATGAACCCGTTGACATGGGGCGTGTACTAGCCCAGGACAGAGGTTGTCCACACCTGCCGTGCATAGCTGCAAGAAACAAATAGATGCAACACTGTCTCCTCGGAGGATATGCACATCGGGCATACATTCTAAATCAGCATCCCTTTACGTGCAAGATTAGTATTTAGTTGCTCGTAAATTAGTATTCATCACAAATATATGGAAAATATTGTACAATCAGTTGTATAATATATATTGTGTTTCTTTCGACATGACAGGGAGATGCTATTAAATGACCACTCTGTATTACTGAATTGATTACATTATAATGGGGAAGACTTAATTCATGAGTGCATGAGTAGAGTACTAAAATCTCTAATTGGTTGGGCTTCATCGGTGTGAAATGCACGTGTCTAGAAAAATGCATCACTAGGCGACATAGCAGAGTCTAGGTTCACGCACTCATTTCACAATAATTTGGTATCCAATTTTAAGGTTTATGAAACAATGATACATATCTTTAATTTGTACGACTGGGTGAGCATTGATGTGACATTCAACTGATTTTCTTAAGAACACTGGTAGCAGTGAGGAAAAAAAATTTCTCACCACTCTCTTTGAATAAATATTTTTTTCTTCTCAACTCCTCCCAAGGGCGGATCAACTAAGAGTTAAGTGAAGTCAATTGAATCAACTAAATTCTTTTTACAAATTGATGTCTTTTTATGCATGTTACCCATATACCCAATTATAGTCTTCGTTCTCCTTCTCCAGACGCTAGACCCCAACGCATTAGTTTTCAAATTTCAGCCCTAGCTCTCTCAATCCTTCCTCAAATCTGTTGCCACCCTTTTTCTCGCCAAGAGAGCAATCATCGGAAGTAAATTTGAGTTGTGGAGCTGCCTAGAGAGACATAAATCGGAACCCATCTCGGGATAGAGCAACTCTCCCTATGCGATTCGAGGTCTATATTAATTGTTTTACTTTTCCAAACTTTAACATTACTTTATTTTAATATTGCTTTGTAATTTGTATGTATACAGAAATCCTCTATTCAACTTTGTTCCAGTATTCATCTCGTTGTCCTTTTAAATTCGTTGTTCAATTGTTTTTATAGTAAATCCTTTGATCAATTTGTTGTGCTTTGTTTCTTTTATTTTTTTTGAATTGTGTCTCAGATTGTTTTGTGCTAATAAAGTTATAAATAAAATTAGTGCTATATTTATTTCAATTATGTAGGCGGTATTATTGCGCGTGTTTGAAGTTAAAATCATTCATCAAAGAGATCAATTTTTGAAATTTAATTGACAATAAAAGGTGACATCTTGAATACAATTTTTGGTATTAATATGTTAATTATGAATTTTATTTTTAGTTGCATTAATAGTAAATTACTATTTTTGTGATGTTATCTTATGTTAGCTTATGTTTGCTAAATCTCGTGTTTTGATGTTAACAAACAACATGAACTAATATTTGTTTGAGTGTTTCGGGTATAACAAAAATCCATTAAGAATTGATTCTCAAAATGAAGTTGAAAGCGTAAAATATAGGTAGAATTAAATGTAAAGATATGATTTTATATATCTATATTCACAAACTCGATATGCACTCACAAACATGCTTAAAATGATTTTCCAAAACTCAATCTTGCATACGTACAAAATATTTTACGTTGAGTATTTATTTTAAGTAAAATAATTAAATAAATATTTTTGAAAAATATAATATTTTAATTGGGAAAAACTTACAACATAAAAGTAGTAGATCTTTTTGATACGAGATCGCAAGTTTTTGAATCACTTATTTTCGATAGGTATTGAAGAAGTTATGACCATTTTACTAAAATTATTGGTTCCGTGCGTAAAAAAGGCACCGGCTACAGATGGTCGAGTAGATGAACCGTTTTGGAGAAACGATCGATCATTCTGTGGCTGTGTAGCTAAAGTTTACCGTTGCACGGTCGACCGTGGGTCTCTAAGGGTCGAACCCCTGGACCATCTGGGTACATTTTTAGCCCAAAGTAACGCATACCAGTCATATTTTGAATTGGATATTCTTCGAGCGGTTTTATCAACTTATTTATGGTATTTGGAGCCTCTTAACATCTAATTATTCAAATTAAAGGCCCCTAATTCAATCATATAAATACTCAATCATTCTCATTAATTTTAAATAAGAATCCAAGCTATAATCTTCTAATCTCATATTCTAAAGTTTGTTCTTGTTCTAGTTCTTAATTTTTATTATTTTGGCTATTTCAAGAGCCTCTTTCTATTGATTTTAAAACACACACATTGATCTTGTGGTTATACATATATTATATTAATTAGGTTGATTTTGTATCTTTTAGAGAGTATATTCTTTGTTCTTCACCGGCCAAAGATTGATTGATCTTATTCTTTATCATATGCCTAAAGGTGTTAAATATTTTTCTATGTTTTTAGACACAATTTTTACTCATTTTAATGGTCAAGGATAGCCGTATAAATCCTTGTGTAGGCGGATAAGGATGGCTGGGAAATTCGTTGGTAAAATGTTCATGGACAGCCTTTCAAATCCTTGGGGGAAAGGTCGGAGTTAACCTTGAAATCTTCATTGTAAGTAGTTTGGGATAACCGTTGTGAAATCCCTGAGTGAATCCTATCGACAAGAGTTGTTTTCCAAAAAAACTAGTACGGTGCTTTGACGGAGTTCAAGAAGCCAAGAGTAGTAGATTCAGAAATCCTTAAGGATGAGCCTTAAAGTACTAGAGTAGGGAGTTTCCGAACAAGTATAAATCGGTGTGTCTTTATTTTACGATTTTAAACTCTACATTTTATTCATTGCTTGCACGCTTTCTAATCACCGATTTTATAAACTCCGAAAAATTTTAAAACACCTTATTCACCCCCCCTCCCCTCCATCTAAGGGGTGGGCACATCGACTAACAAGTGATATTTGAAAGGTTTTGTAGTTGAAAGTGCTTAACTGCATCTACGACAAAGATCTACGTGTGCACATTTTAAATTAAATTTTGATATTTTGATATTTTATTACCTTTGATTTTTAAAATTCAAATTTAAAAACGGCTTCAACGAAATTTCAAAGCATTCACCGCTCACCATTTTCAATTTTATAGCACATGCTTTATTGTTATCACTTTTCCATCACACTCCAATGTATACTCTTACATTACCCTGTCATTATACTAATATTTTGGTATTAAAAGACTTAAGACACATATTTTGGTATTTTAATAATTTTTTACTTCTATCTCGGGATATTTCTTAAAATATAATTCTTAATCCAAAAATAGCAAGTGTTCTTTACGCGCCATACGTATATATGGTACACAATTTGGAATGTCTGAATAACTTGAATAACATTATTGATTATTTGTCTCGGTTCACTTTGCTGTCAAATCTTGAACTATGCATTGTATGATTTAAAAAAATTAAATAAACATTGAAATTTCAATGATTATTCTCTAATGCATTAATTCAAACAAAAAATAATACAAAAAATATTAGCAATCATATGATTCTTAATGGAAATTTATATATACATTTGGCAAACTCTCATGCAATTCTTTTTTCCTTTATGTTTGAATAAGAAACTATTCAAGCCTATGAAAATATTTTTTTAAATTTATGTGATTTAAAAAGTTGATCGTTTAAAAAATAATCTAGACACTTCTTGTTTTATAGAATACTCCGTATTAACTTAGAGTTATTTTTCATTTTATTTTTTATATTCAAATAAATTAAATAATATAATTCATTTAATCCTATTACAAACATAAATAAAATTTTATTTTAATTAATTACATTATAAAATTAAAATAAGTACTTACAAAATTATGTATAGTAATCTTTTTTATACTTGAACATTATTATAATCGAACCATCTCTTTTTTAAAAAAAATGATGAATGTAATTTTTAAAATATGTTGTTTGTTTTTTATTTCATATCAATATTGAAAGAAATATGTTCAAAATTAACTTCATTTTAACTTGCCATAAACAAACAATCATGTGAAATTTATTTAGAGGCGAAGAAAGTAGTGTATTAAGTAATTGAAAATTTTGTTAGAAACGAAGAAAAAATATTGAATCATGAAAAAGCTTTATTATAAAAAATGAATATAAATATTTCATAATTAAATTTATTCAAAGATTTCATACCAAAATAGTTTTTCATATTTTATGTCTTAAATTATGTGTCATATTAGATGTGAAAAACCACATAAATAATGCATATATGAACTTTCTAAACATAAAAGTTCAATCAATTTATATAAAGGATTTATTGAATATTTTTATTCTTAAATATTTAATATAAAGAATTTATTTAAAAAATTTATTCTTAATTATTTTATTTTTGATAAAAAATAAAAGTTTAATCACATGCCAAATAATTTTAATGGAGTCTAGGTCATAAATCAAATACCACATAATATGTCCCATATTTTGCCACATGTATACCTCATATTGTGTCACATGTCAAGCTCTTATGCATCAAACTCTCAAATTTATATATAAAGGATATGAATCGATTGGTAAATATATATTCTCTAGAATAATAAGGTACATACTTGGTATTTGGTGGACACTTAGATTGTGTTTAGTGAGAAAAAGAAATATGAATTTTAATTTCTCCAGATATCAAAATCCTTTTTTGGTGTTTGGTGAAGCAAAAAGAGATCTCGAGTTTGATATCTTCAAATATTATAAATCCTCCAAATGAGAGTTTCGATATCTCTAGAAATTGGGAGATGTCAATATAGAGGTTGATATCTCTCTCAACCGTTGATCATTCTCCGACAACCTAGCTACCATTGTCACCGCTACCCACCATCATTGCTGGTCACCCCTGCCTATCACTAATTATATCACGATTTTGAATCTCTCTAAACAACTTTGTTTCAAATTTCA